GCGTGACATTATAACAGCAGTGCATGACATTATAACAGCAGTGCATGACATTATAACAGCAGTGCATGACATTATAACAGCAGTGCATGACATTATAACAGCAGTGCATGACATTATAACAGCAGTGCATGACATTATAACAGCAGTGCGTGACATTATAACAGCAGTGCATGACATTATAACAGCAGTGCTTGACATTATAACAGCAGTGCATGACATTATAACAGCAGTGCTTGACATTATAACAGCAGTGCATGACATTATAACAGCAGTGCTTGACATTATAACAGCAGTGCATGACATTATAACAGCAGTGCATGACATTATAACAGCAGTGCATGACATTATAACAGCAGTGCATGACATTATAACAGCAGTGCATGACATTATAACAGCAGTGCATGACATTATAACAGCAGTGCATGACATTATAACAGCAGTGCATGACATTATAACAGCAGTGCATGACATTATAACAATAGTGTAAGACATTAAAAAAATAAAAATAATAGGCCATATTTTTTCGCATATTTCCACACCAATCAGGGGCATGCCCAAAATGCTATTATTACCCCGGTCACTGGACTAGTGTGCACTCAAGAATAATTATACATAACAGTATTGCAGGACATTATCACAGCAGCGAATTAAAACATGTGGGCAGGTTCCACAATGCCCCGGTTGTCACATTGCCTAACACGCGAAGAAGGGCGTACATTAATTGTGTGAAACCAGAGACCAGAAAATAGATATATGGCCTCTGGTGAAACCGAGCACGGGAATGATGCTTGCACCAAAGATGACTACTGGGGCGAATCTTGAAGTCAAAACCCCGACCATCGAAGTGTGGCAAATATGCACAATGGCACATGAAGCTATGTTCATGTACCGCTGGACCGTGTAACGGCAAGCTGAGTTGCGATTGTGGCACTCGGCTACCCACAGTAGTGTCTCCTTACGGCCGGCATGAGGAACAATTGTTCTGTAGAAGAAACCCCATGTTGGTTATATAGGCTGAGATCCTTATCATGCAGCTTCTGGCCCAGCATCAGCCCAAGAGATGCGTCTGATCCAGCAACAAAAATCTGTTAGATATTCAGCTGACACTGAAGTCATACAAAGTTTCTCAAGTGACGGCTGCCAGAAAGTGGAATGAAACTCCAGCATACACGAAAGACATCAAAGCTCTGTCCTTATTTAAATCGCACCTCCTTCTTCTTCGTCTTCTTCTTCCTCCTCTTCCTCTTCATCTACCTCTTCCTCCTCGTCCTCTTCTTCTACCTCTTCCTCCTCGTCCTCTTCTTCTACCTCTTCCTCTTCGTCCTCTGCTTCTACCTCTTCCTCCTCGTCCTCTTCTTCTACCTCTTCCTCCTCGTCCTCTTCTTCTACCTCTTCCTCCTCCTCTTCTTCTTCTTCTTCTCATTATCAACCGTTCAAAAGAACAACTTACAGACGTACTTAACATGTACCTGGTCAAAGTACCAAATAGTTTGGCCTTGAGTCCAGCTTGTAGGTGAGGTGAAATTGGGTTTGACGTTGCGTCCAAGATTAGTGCACTTTTTAGCGACGTGCATGCACGTGTGTGTATGTGTGGCTGCTTGTACTAGTCCGGACTGATGCCGATTTATAGTGCTAGCTCACTGAGATACCATGCCGCAGTTTAACATGAATACCAAACTCAGACACAGTATACTGACTCCGAGCCGACCAGTCCTTGTTTTAGCCCCATAATGCCGCGCACCAGATAGGGTAACAACAAGTACCATCTTTTAACGTCTTTTGGTATGACGCGGCCGGGGATCGAACCCCGGACCTTCCGCTCTCCGGGCGGCCGCTCTACCACTAGACCACGGAGGCGGTCAAGTCTAATGATCTTTTCACGAACACCTGGTATCATCGCGATTTGATTCCAACATCTGAGTCGTTTGGACGACTCCGACTGTATCATGAGCATGTGGTTATAAATCACTATCAAATCATGATAGTACCAGGTGTTCGCGAACAGGTGAGCGTATCCTGCCCCACCGGTGGCACCCGTCACAAATACATGCAAAGGCAAGTCAAAAACAAATACAAAGTTTTATATTTCGGGGCGCTAATTGTTCAAAAAAAATTCTTTTTAATATTGGCGTATGTTTTCTACTTCCCTTCAACGACGACCTTAAAAAGTAGATAACGTCTTATGTTACCGGGGCAACCAAGCTGCCTGTCTCGGCGACATCTTTTTGTGCTGATGTTTGTTCTTTTGCTCCCCCACAAGTTGATGAATTATAATTCAAGGAGCTGCCTTGCTTTACCATATACCATGCTGTTTCCAGACTTAAAGCAGTCACAAATGGAATGCTTTTGTCCATGAGAGCAGCCCCCTAGAGGTATAGAAGAGTGTGAGTACAAACCTCATCAATATATCTGTCCACTTAACAACTTACTCGAAAATATCGTTACGCTCTACAGGTTTTGAAAAGCTAATACCAACGCGATATATGATAGCAAGGCCTTCAGATAGCAAGATGCCTCTGTCTTCTATAAGATTCTATTAACCAGGGGTGTGCCTGCCTAGCTCTGAAACGCATGATTGCCCCAAGAATGCTGAACCCTACATCAACCTATGATACTGAAAGGATATAATATATGGAAACCTTGAGATACATTCAGATGGTTATCAGCAATACTGGAGTATTAGTAGCAATGAACATGTCATAAACAGAAAGCCAGACTGTTTTATTTTCGTCACACCCCCGGTACAGATAAAAATACACATACAACGATATATAACTGAGCCATCCCTTACGGGATTATGAGTGAGTGAGTATGGTTTTACGCCGCTTTTAGCAATATTAGAGCAAAAGCACGGCGGGTGACACCAGAAATGGGCTTCACACATTGTACCCATGTCGGGAATCGAACCCAGGTCTTCGGCATGACAAGCAAACGCTTTAACTACTGGGCTACCCGACCGCCCCTACGGGATTATGAGAGACGTAATTATATAATATAATGTTTAGCATGAAATACAATACACAATGTCATTACCATACTGTCACAGGTTCCTGTTTTATCATAGATCGTCCGTTGTCGATAGAAATTGTAATAAGGCCAAAAGATGACATTAAATATTCTTAAAATTTTATGACTAATTGAAATGAGGCGAGCTTTTTGAAACTTGTCAAACGGGTACCATATAACCTTAGGGGGTATAAATAAATTACGTGGGCTGCCTTTACATGTACACCTTCGGGGATACCGGCACAGTCGTTAGAGTACAAAGGAAATTAGATAAGCATTCACGTCTATACAATCTTTACGCCAGGGCGCCGCGGGTTATGGAAAAGAATAGGTGCGGAACAATCGATGTATGTTACATAACAGGTGTTAAGTAGAAGAATCACTATTATTTGTCGAGCGTAATACTTGCTTCTACTATTTGCATTCAGGGCAAACTCCTGTGTTCAGATCAAATATAGCAAGTTAGGCTTAACTTTCAATAACAAAATATATGACTTGAAGGAGCACCTACATGTTGGTAATGAGTATTTAGGGCTGCGTTTATAATCTATATTTTGTTGACTATACAGAGAACACACGCCCATCTGGACAAACCGGTTGGCGTTGAGGTGGGGTGTTCTGTATAACCCTGCATTACGTTGGTAGTAATTTCGTGTGGTGTAGTGATGCGTGGCGGAAAACCTTTGCCATCCAAGGACGAATGCTCAGCTGTCTACATAACATACTTAATTAATCATGTGTTGGGTTTACAGACTTGTACCACCCGGAATAGACTTCAAGCACAAATGCACGATAACTTCGTATCTGAATGAACACTTTCAGGTTGATTAGGGGTGATTGTGTTGAGTGCTTGACATGAATGGAACTATTGAAGCATATATAAAAATATAATTTTTTTTAACAAGAAGGATAGCTTAAGACAACAATAATTTAGGTAAATAGAAAACACACGAGGGGGGTATTTAAGTTCAATATCTATGTACATATATATGTATGAAATATTTGTACTCGTAAGCTGTTAAGTTTAATGTCAATAAATAAGTGACAACCGTCACTGCTTAACTGGTAAGTGATGACACAAGGTATTCGGAAAAAGGGTAAGTATGTCCTGCCCCTCCCCCCCCCCCCCCCCCCCCCCCCGAACCACACCTACCCACACCCACACCCCCTTGTGCCAGCCGCTCACATAATCTGAATAAAAAAGTAAGAATTATAAATAATAGACGAAAGCACAATAGTATATCATTTCATAGGAAATACGAAGGATTCTACCATGTGTGCAATTGGGGTTGATGTTTGGAGGAGTGAGTGAAATAATAGTGTTTTACGCCGCAGTCGTTATAACCAACGGCGGCTTGTAAATAATCAAGAATGAACAAGCAAACCAATTCAATGACTGAAATATAAAACAACTTCAAAGAATATGTCTGTCTACTTATTCATTCCTTACTTGACTAAAAACTTTTATGTGGAGACTTAATATTCGTACATCGATGTTCGTTTGGTCGTTTTATATTTGATATTATAAAATGTCATGGATCTTTATCAAATACATGTATGCCTAATAAACACAGTACGAATAACTCTTATATTTAAAACAGCGGGGCTCGTTCCGTGACATTACTAACTCGGCCTCTCATACTCGGCAGTTCTAAAATAGTTCTATTGTAATGAACTGGTTTGTATACAAGGGTTCTCTAGCAGTGATGTGCGTTGTGTGTCTCCACAATGGCTGCCACGCTGTCAGAACCCGTCAAACCAGTTATCACAAGATCTGCGTTTCTTTAACCCACAGTATATCACGCAATTCAATATGACAATGAACAGGATATCTGAAGTATGATTTAAATATTGACTAACCAGTTCAAACCACGCAAGATGAAGCATTTTGACTCGTCAAACTTGTCCACATACTCCGGTGTCACGCCCGGATTTTTAACATTTTGCTAGTCTAAATTTGTAACCTTAGGATTTGTTTCATAAAACCCATTCGAGTGTGAATCCTGAATACTGTAATAGATTAGCTTTAGTATCTAAACACCTTAATTCTTCAGCTGTGCCTACAAGCCAAATGCCATTAGACCTAACTGTTTATTTAAAGCAAGGCGATTTAAGAGCAGGCCGGTCTGAAGAACGCTCCTGTCTCCCCGGGACGACATTGGCGCATTTGTAAGGCAATCGCGCGTTCACGAGGCCGTGAAGACTGGGGGCACACGTACCATATACCCGGACAACCTGTTGAGCCCGGCTTGTTTCTGTGTAGACGGGTGGATGCCTTGAGGGCTGTGTAGTGTGGGTGTGGTGTAGGTTTAGCAGGATAGGACAGGACTATCGACTCCATCAATTTCGAAGGGTAAGTTGCAAATTTATGTTTCAGATGTGTATCTGTATATCATTGACTTGTCATTTGACATTGCAGACATTGTTCGTAGTTGTACTTATGACAATGTTTTTGTTAGTTGAATTATATTTGAAGATATTTGTTTTGTTTTACTGAAATGAATGGCTCTGTTGTTATGTGTCAAATACTACACAGAAGGACGATATATTAGATACACCATCTTATAAACTCACGGTGGCCGTAAAAGTAGGGAAAGTTACAGATGTGTGTATATTTATTGGTATGTTAACTGTTCGTGGGTAACGTTGATTTTAGTAATTACGGGCGGTTTAAGCTTTGCAATTCCTGAAAGTGTCTGAGATCTTGAACCTCACTGACCCCTATCGATGGCGGATCATCTTTGAATAGTCTCCATTAACAAAGCGTCTGTTTTATGTTCTGAGTATTTCACAATACCTCAGGGCAGTTGCTGTGATTGTATTTGTATTTATCGTATATGATATTTATGATAATGTACAAAGTGTATGGACTTGACATACTTCAAACATTGGCGTTTAACATCCACACGCGTTGCTTGCATTAGGATGGTAACATATAAATATAAAAATACGTTGGTGCAGATAATATATAGCTAATAAGGATTAATATATTGATAACATAATAGTATTACTGTGTCGGTCTAAATTGTAGCTACTTCATATATTTTCTTGACCGGTAATAATTATATTACGTAATTTAGTGACAACGTTTTCGACTCCGACATGAGGTGACAATGTCATAGTTTAAGACACTGCTTGTTGTCATATATTCACAAAGACACATTCTTAAGGCTGTTTACCGAGTATGCAACCTGTCGATCGATTATTTCTGTCTATTATCAGATACTGATCCGCTTCGTGATCGATCTTTAGGACACAGGTTGATAGTCAATGACTTCTACCTGCACTGGTAGTTCATGCTTGGATGCACCGCATAGACAGTTCTCCCAGCATGACTGCAGATCCTGTTGTTTGTTGTGTAACACTGCACCCAGCAATATCCCAGCTGCATGACGGCGGTCTGTAAATAATCGAGTCTCGACCAGATAATCTTGTGATTGATATCGTGAGCATCGTTCCAGGCAATTGGGATCGATGACATGCATACCAAGTCAGCGAGCCTGACCACCCGATCTCGTTAGTAGGGAACACTGTATCAATATAAAACGTCATAGCCAGAGAATAACAGTCTCGATTATCCACCGAAACAGATTCAATTAGGTGTAAGGAAGAAAATAGCGAATATATGAATTGATTACTGAAAATGAGTGATGACACCAGTTGTTTGCAAAGAAGGGTTAGCATGCCCTACCCTACCGCTAGCACCAGCCACTTACACAATCTGTATAAAAAAAGTAAGTTTTGGCTTAAGTAAGCATTAAAACAATAGATGAAAGCACAATAGAATATAACATCATAGGAATTATGGAGGGATGTACCATGTATGCAATTAATAAACGCTCCGTGAAGATCCAGGTTAGAAAAGGTTTTCAGCAACCCATGCTTGCCGTAAACGGCGACTGTGCTTGTCATAAAAGGCGACTAACGGTATATGTTGGTCAGGTTCGCTGACTTGGATGCATGTTATCGTTGATATATTTGGGTGGATCGATACTCACGACATTAATCACTGGATTGTTTGGTCCAGACTCGAATATTTACTGACCGCGGTCATATAGCTGGAATATATCATGTCAGGTGATGCATGATTTTAGTATGGGGATGTTTTTATATGAGACAAGCTGTAATGAGTTGATTCCTATTAGATTGATTGTGATGATATTTATGTTTCCTTTTTTTGATGTTGTTGATTCAACCGTCAATTTACTCGATATTTGTAATGTTATTATTGTGGCATAAAACAACATATTTTTTGTGGGATAGAAATAGCAAAATTATGTTGGAGTTGTTGGTGTTAGTGAGTGAGTGAGTATGGTTTTACGCCGCTTTTAGCAATATTCCAGCGATATCACGGGGGGGGGGGGGGGGGGGGGGGGGGGGGGGGCACCAGAAATGGGCTTCACACATTGTCCCCATGCCGGGATTCGAGCCCGGGTCTTCGGCGTGACGAGCGAACGCTTTAACCACTAGGCTACCCGACCGCCCCCATTAGGAGTGGTTGTGGTTATATGGAGCTGAGTGTATTGGAGTATATCCTGCTGAGTCAACAATGAGATGAGAGGCGTGTTTTATGTCCCTCGCTTACAGTCAGGGTAGTGTTTACACAAACTGTTTATTTACACTTGATGAATGTTATGAACAAGACACTTTCTACCTTCAATGACACTGCGATTTCAGCAATGTGTATGGATATAAGCCATGTGGTAATGGTCGCTCTCGTATCTCGAACAAGAAGAAAAGACCCGTGAAGATCCAGGTTAGAATAGATCTTCAGCAACCCATGCTTGCTGTAAAAGGCGACTATGCTTGTCGTAAGAGACGACTAACGTGATCGGGAGGTCAGGCTCACTGCGTGGAACGATGCTGGATTGGCTGGTCCAAACTCGATTATTTACACCCGCCGTCATATAGCTGTAATATTGCTGAGTCGGACGTTAAACAACAAACAAACACGAAGAAAACGAGAACACCCATCCATTGCTTTCAGTCAGTAAAGATATTTTACGACCGCTTCGAAAAACACACACAGCGCACTCATGCATATTCACTATTCATATAGTTTGCGTGGGCGTCGATTCGGTATATCACAAAAAGTAACTTACGATGTCAAACATAAATATTCGCTTGATCATGTTTCCACGTTTGTCAGCACCATACCAGCTCTCGTGGGTTTCACCGAATTAGTTATAAGGTCGAAGGTCATTTTAGCTAGTTTCAGACCTTGATCTTACAGGACGTTTTACAACTACACCAACCCTTTTAGAATCAAAGTAAAGTAAAGTAAAGTAAAGTAAAGTAAAGTAAAGTAAAGTAAAGTAAAGTAAAGTAAAGTAAAGTAAAGTAAAGTAAAGTAAAGTAAAGTAAAGTAAAGTAAAAATAATAATAAACTGTTTTAAATTTGTTCATCAAAAAATTGTCGAAGATGAATTCCACTTTTTAATGTTATGTCCTTTATATGAAGATCTTAGAAGTATTTTACTTAGAGTTTTAAATCCGTTATTTGAAAATAGTAGCGTTGATGGCGCTTTCATTTATATTTTAAAATGTAAAGAAATTCAGCCTTTGTTAGCTTGTACACTTTTAAAGATGTTGAAACGTAAGCAATCATTTAGTTAGGCATTTAGCTAGACATGTACATTTTATTGTCAATGTATAATGTATATGTTTTATTGTGTCTCATAAGCCTAATGGCTGGATGTTACTTTTTAATATGCCAAAGAACATGTATATATCTCTCTTTTGTAACACGTGACACGTTAATAAAATAACTCTCTCGCTCTCTCTCTCTCTCTCTTTCTCTCTCTCTAAGGCTTGTGTTCCAACGTTATGCTAACACGCCGTCAAGTTAAGGAAATACTGCTCCTAGCGGCGTGTAACCAATCTCGCTCACTAACAACTCAGGAACGCGTGAACAAAAGGAGCCCAACATTCAACGTCGTTGTTTGGATGTTCATCTATCCGTATGCAAGGTCAGGGTCAAATGGAGGTGTAGTCACGTGACCGGTCAACCGTTCAACGAGCATAAACTTTCTTTAAATATATGTTCAGGCTGTTATGAAACAGTGGCGCCTGTCTACACATCTAACGTTAATGTTGACCGTGTTACGTATTTGCCCAACTAATAATTCCACGGCTTGTATGAACAGGTCATTGTAAAAACCATGTGATTGAATCTTTGCCATGTTCGAAGTATAATCCTGAACACAGACTACCTCAGTATAATTACACTCGTAGTTTTTGTAAGGCGATGTAGATCCCTGACTACATCTCAGCTCCCTTAAATCCCTTAATAACTAATATTATGCATTCCTGAATCGTGTGGTATATAGGACCGTCTCCATGGTCTAGTGGTAGAGCGTCCACCCGGATTTTAACATTATCAATACATCAGGAATAAGTATATATTGATGAGGTTTCGGCTGTGATATGTTTGAGTAGGGTACACACATCTATTATGAGTTTTAGTATTCATAGAATTTCGTTTTTTTGTATTCTTAATATTTAAATTTTCGTATATTGATATGATTTCATTTTTATCTTTGGCTGCTCTGTTAATAGGTGGGCTCTTACTTTATATTTCTCTTTTTGTGAACCTTAATTGAGAAGTAAACGAATTGCATAAAAATGCATCTTTTTCTTCAGATAAGCATCAAACGTTGTTTTAGTAAACTCCTACTCACTTGTTAATCCAAGGAATATAATCCTTTAATCCGACTGTCCGCTTATTAACCATAAACTCAAACAATCTGTCATTGACAATGTGTACAGGTGTAGTTCTTTACTCTTTTCTACATGAACAATGAGATGTTTTAATGTAATGAATATTGAACCGTGTTAACAGTCCATTTGTGACATAGTTTATTTACGATAATGATATCCAAAAACAGTCTGTAATTGACAATGTGATCAGAAGCAGTTCTTTATCTCTTTTACTGTGAGATAAAACTGTCAATTTCTGAAGTCTCATCGACTGTGAAATGTTTTAAACTTTTTAAAAATTAATGTCCTTAATGACATTGTGACATAGGGTGTGCCTAATCGAGTACAAAGAACCTGTAGGCATATTAAAGCGAAGGCAAAATGGCGTGTAGGCAAAATGAGAATAGCCCATATAGACAACACTTTTGATGAGCTTTTGCTTAAAGTGTGCGTTCATCTCGTGGGGATTCCGACATGGGTACAATGTGTGAAACCCATTTCTGGTGTCCCCCCGCCGTGATATTGCTGGAATATTGCTTAAGGCGGCGTAAAACCATACTCACTCATCACGTGGGAAAACGTTCTGTTTCCTGAATACCTGTGCAATCGATGAGAATCCAGTTTCGATAACGAGTTGCGTCACGGCGTAGACGTTACAATGCATCCTCATGCAAATTTAGCTGACATGTTCTCTGTAACCAATATACCATGACCTTAGACCCCTGCTGTACAGGTTCTCAATTAGTTGCTTATTATTACCAGGAAGAGGCGCAGAGAAGTATAATGCTTTCTGTAAACCCCACGGTGTGAGACTAATCCTAGTGTTGAAGACTACACAAAGGGAATCAGGATTCTATTACTCTCAAGGACAAAAGGCCTAAACCTATAATGAATGGGCGACTGCTCAGGCGATGCGCACATATATAGCACAGTGGTTTCCTGACCGGTTTTCCCGGTCCGAGTGATCTCTGACAACCGTGGCTTTGAATGAGAGGGCCGGGTTCTTGCACAATGGGAATTGAGGCATTAATTTTTTTTTTCTATGAACAGTATTGCATAATCGCAGGATGTAATTATACAGTCACATGATTGGCGAGTTTGGCGTAATCGTTGAGATTAAAAGAATTGCAATCGTTAGGGTGTGGTTAGGCAATGGTTGCTTATACATCATACTGGACTTGAACAGGGCTGATTTGACTGGGAACGTCATCATTGAAGGTTGGTTGTAAACACACGCTGGTGCTGCTCGTTCCGGGTACATTACGATGATTAATTTATGCTCAGCAATTTCTGTTTTGATCATACACTAGTATGTACACCTAAACATCTAGTATGGTAATAGCATCTAATTATGGTGGTATCATGCATAAGTTATACGCCTGTTATGTTGACTATGGTAATTGCATCGTATGATGGTTGTATCATGCATTAGTATGTACACCTGTAACCTGTTATGTTGACTATGGTAATTGCATCGTATGATGGTTGTATCATGCATTAGTATGTACACCTGTAACCTGTTATGTTGGCTATGGTAATTTCATCGTATGATGGTTGTATCATGCATTAGTATGTTCACCTGTAACCTGTTATGTTGGCTATGGTAATTTCATCGTGTGATGGTTGTATCATGCATTAGTATGTACACCTGTAACTTGTTATGTTGGCTATGGTAATTTCATCGTATGATGGTTGTATAATGCATCAGTATGTACACCTGTAACCTGTTATGTTGACGACGGTAATTAAAGCATATGATGTTTGCATCATGCATGAACATTTAGACCTGTCATGTGGATGAGGGCAAGTTTATTCTATGATGGTTGACTACGGTAAACATAACATATCATGTTTGCACCATACTAAAATATTAGACCGGTTATATTGACTAGAACAATCGTATCCTATGATGTTTGTATCATGGATAAATATTTACACATATTATGTTGACTACGGTTCATCGTATGACATTGGCATCATACATAAATATTTATACCGGTTATGGTGACAAGGACAATTTATCAGTATGTGCATCGGTTTTGTTGATTATGATAATTACGTAGTATGATGTTTGCATAATACACCTTTATGTGCATCAGTTATGTTGATTATGATAATTTCATAGTATGATGTTTGCATAATACACCTATATGTGCACAGGTTATGTTGATAACGATAATTTCAGTGGTATTTGCATAACACGCCAGTGTTTACGCCTGAAATGTTGACTACGATAACTGCATCTTATGTTTTTGTCAAAACGATATATTTACTCCAGTCACCAGTATATATGCTGGATCTGTTGGTCATAATATGCCTCGACATAGCCTTAACTTGAAGGGGCAAGTGATTTTACCGTGTATAGTTAATAAGATGTATGTCATATCATGCCGTCAGACTACAGGAACATTAATAACGATAATGTCATAACAAGTATATGAACCGGGGATATTGATTATGAGTCCATAGCATGACATTCATGAAATGAACAAGTAATAAGCTCATGTGTAATATACAATGAACTATACATCATGATCCAATATATATACCCAGAATTGTGTTCATGATTTTATCAACGTAAGATATCTACTTCACACACAAGTATATATATATATACCAAGTATTGTGTCTATGATTGTGTCAGAGTAAGATAGCTACTTGATATACACCAGTATATATACAGGATATTGTGTTCAGGATTTTATCAGAGTCAGATATTTGCTTAAAATACATCAGTTTATAAACATAATATTTTCATCATTAATAGCAAATACTGAATGGTATTATTATACAACAGCCATTTCACAGAAAGTATCAATGTTATAATTTATCTGAATTAATGCTATTTATGTCATGCATTGGGGGATCTAGATGAAGCTGTTACTGTAACGAAAAAAACTTTGAAATGCGCACTTGTTAACTGGATGTAATCTTGGGTGTTAGTTACCGATACGAGGTACATGGATGCCTTTGCAAAGTATATACACTTAACGTGTTGGTTGTGTCACCGGTAACGGTACATGGATGTAATTGATGCCTTTGCAAAGTATCTACACTTAACCCCGTTCACATGAGCCTCTATACATATGTGTGTATTTGTGCATACGTGAGTATACTTGTCATGTGAACGCGTTTACTCATGTGTGTATATATACACCAGGAGCAAATTAGCATCATGTCTTGAGCAGGTGCAAATGTCAATGTAAATTTGCACTGTGTGTATATGTTGCAATGTGACCGTTTATATCAACGTAACAAGATGATCTAATTAATATCAACAGATTCGTTTACCAACACCAAACAAATAAGTACAGTTGTCAGCTTTTATGTGTATATACAGAGTTGAGCGGACGGCATTTTCTTTTGGTTTCACAGAGTCAAAACTCTGTGTACAAATTAAAATGTTGCTTCACGCGAACATTTTCGGTGAAGTAACCCTCTTCTCATTCAACACTAATTTCATACTTTATTTACACACCTAAATGCTTTTCATGTGAACGCATAGTAAATTTACATATATGCACGTATGTATAGCTATACATAAAATTACTTACGTTGGTAAGTGTTGTGCACGTGAACGAGGTATTAGTGTGTTGGTAGTGTACCGATAACGGTACACGGATGTTATTGATGCCGTTGAAGTGAATCTAAACTTAGTGTGTTGGTAGTGTTTCAGGGTGCCGACTGACGATGTACCCAGGAATGTTGCTACCGTTGGTATGCGTGGTCCTCTGCTGTGTAACGCCATCACAGCAGCAAACGCAAGGTAACTAGGCAACAACGTGGTCAAATATCCATTTGTCTTTTCCGATATGCATGTATTTCGTAATCGACGTATTTGGACTTTTATATACATCATGTAGTGGCGACTTTCATTGGGTTGGTCAAATTTCAAGGTCCATAGAACAACTATTGGCTCCATGTATGGAATAGCCGCTGCTTCAACTCATTGTCTAGGGATACGAAATGTAAACGTCATGGAATGGCATTTACCATACAGAAAATATCAGTCAACTAACGTATCTATGTTCATCAGGTTTTCAGTTGGATCCTGCTGATTACAGCAGCAACACGGGAGGGTTTGCCTTCTTCCAGCTGATTGTAGCCGCTGGAGTCACAGGAGATGGTACCTGGTACAGAAACAACGTCGCACTGAGCCAGGACTCCATCAAGATATTCATAACAACCTCGGGTGACGTTAGACAAATCGTCATTCAGAGCATCGTGGCGGCAGACGCTGGCACCTACACATTCCGTGTAAATAACTTTGAGGTATCAGCTGTCCTCACTGTAGACGGTAAGATATACAGTTTACTGGGTAAAGGAGTATGTTTCACAACGTTCGCAGCACTATTCCACATTAACCATACAAGTGCGTGTACGTTTCGCTCATGTGACCGTGGATTCGATCCCGGGTCTTCGACTTGAAGAGCAAACGCGTGAGCGTTTTGGTTACACCAACGTGCCATAGATAATGTTGAAGGTATGAAATAACCCAGGCCGAATGTAAGATGCAAGTACGGGTTATTCCGTATCTTACATTTAAAATATAGGAGGTATGATAAGTTGAAGGTATGATATAACCCAGGCCGAATGTAAGCTGTAAGTGTGGGTTATTTCGTATCTTACATTTAAAATATAGGAGGCATGATAAGTTGAAGGTATGATAAAACCCAGGCCGAATGTAAGATGTAAGTGTGGGTTATTTCGTATCTTACATTTAAAATATAGGAGGCATGAAAAGTTGAAGGAATGAAATAACCCAGGCCGAATGTAAGATGTAAGTGTGGGTTATTTCGCATCATACATTTAAAATATAGGAGGTATGATAAGTTGAAGGTATGAAATAACCCAGCCCGAATGTAAGATGTAAGTGTGGGTTATTTCGTATCTTACATTTTAAAATATAGTAGGCATGATAAGTTGAAGGTATGATATAACCCAGGCCGAATGTAAGATGTAAGTGTGGGTTATTTCGCATCATACATTTAAAATATAGGAGGTATGATAAGTTGAAGGTATGAAATAACCCAGCCCGAATGTAAGATGTAAGTGTGGGTTATTTCGTATCTTACATTTTAAAATATAGTAGGCATGATAAGTTGAAGGTATGATATAACCCAGGCCGAATGTAAGATGTAAGTGTGGGTTATTTCGCATCTTACATTTAAAATATAGGAGGTATGATAAGTTGAAGGTATGAAATAACCCAGGCCGAATGTAAGATGTAAGTGTGGGTTATTCCGTATCTTACATTAAAACTATAGGAGGCACGTCTTGCAATTAATGGGACATGTTTTGATGTATTACATGCTTAATACATAATGCAGGATAATGTCTATCTCAGTAGGACTTAGGATGGGAATCATCTACCAAGATGGTTCCAAAATATCTAGTCTATGAATGCACAAATAAAAAATATTGAGAATATATCAGAGGACAGGGAACTTAAATTTAAGGTTGTATCAGTAGATATAAATATGTACAAGAACAGTGTTATTATTGCTATTGTCGACATGTAGACATTATCTCATATAGAAGGGTGCCATAGATGACAAAATGACTGTGCTAAATGTGCCCAAACATATGTCTTTACGCGTAAGGGCAAAACAGTAATGCAACTTATGTGGTCTTCTCGTAAAGGGTAATCATGTCATGCTGTCAGTAGCACCCGTGACCGACACAATTTGTGCAGAAAGTATATTTTTGTTGCCTACAACACGCACACATATGAAGTTGAGTGCAGTGAGTGAATTAACTAGAGATATACGACGAATTAATGACTGAATCACCCACTGAATCAATGTCGTAAGCCTCGAATTTGGGCATGCAGAATTCATCCACGATGGACAGATCACCCTTTTCCCGAGTTCCACGTAGATTATGCCATATGTTACTCACTGTCAGTCTGAGTCGGAAAACACGTATGAATCAATCCTACAGAGTAACTGTTGCTTGTTGTTCAGATAACGTATTGTTATCAACGAACAATGGATGGCATCATGTATTGTTCAGAAGAAATGAAACACTGGGCGTAAAATCGCATATTAACAGACCCCTGTAAAAGGCACATGTACGACTATCTATCTAATTTGATGGGAAATATTGTACTTTTACACAGCAGTCAACAACAAGGGCTTATAAGAATGATAAAAGGCATAGAGATCGTGCACGTGACTCACGCAATGTTCGGCTTCAGGGAATACAGGGGTTACACCTGCCATCCAAACTGGACTACAGAGCTTCAATGTAGCACCGGGAACAACAGTGACCTTTGAGACAACACTCTCCCAAGCAAATGTCAACAGCGGAACGTGGAGAAGGAATGGAGCGGGGCTAACAAGCTCTGCCAAGTATCAGATCACAGTGGTAGGACAAACGCAACGTTTGGTCATCACAAACGTCCAGTCCTCTGATGCGGGGCAATACACCTACCAGGTTGGCTCTCTGACAACAACGGGAACACTGACAGTACAGACAGGTAAGAATCGATCTATGTCATATTTCATTTCCTATGACAAGCAGCATTTACCAATTTGTCAAACACATAAACGTTTACTATTTATGTGTGTAGAGTAGTCATTTTGCGTTCAATCAAAATAACCATAGATGTGAAGGAAGCTAAACATGCAATATTACAAATGATCCACCAGGCTTTGTTTTGTTTCACTTTCTCACTTTATTCAAAATACGTAAAATTGACCAAAGGGAAAATTCTCATATGTTCTGATCATGCATGGAAATTTAATCATACTGAATGTTGTTAAGTAAACCAAAATGAACTTCAAGAATCTCAACAGTTCGTGTTGGTGGACCATTCCATTTACAATTTCACAGTACATCGGCTGCTAAGTTGATTGATGACAGCTAAGATGATTGATGACAATGCTAAGTAACATGTAACAGAGGGAGTAACACCCCTCTGAAACTAGTGGATACCATGGTGGGCCAGGAAATCTTAGAGTGTTGCACATATCTGACGTTTACCGTGTTGGTGAGAGCCATCAGCACGGATATGGTGCTGCACAGCAAGGACCATAATTTTCGAGAATGGAATTCCAACACAAGATAACTGGATACAGGGAGAGCAAAGTATGGTGTCCTTAAACAGTGGAGCTACATTTGCACCCAATTAACAAATAAGGATACTTCGACGAATACCACATCTGTAAATAAAATCAGTGATATTTTTCATCAACAGCGCTGAGCATACTTAACGGACTGCAGAGCTTCAATGTAGCACCGGGAACAACAGTGACCTTTGAGACAACACTCTCCCAAGCAAATGTCAACAGCGGAACGTGGAGAAGGAATGGAGCGGGGCTAACAAGCTCTGCCAAGTATCAGATCACAGTGGTAGGACAAACTCAACGTTTGGTCATCACAAACGTCCAGTCCTCTGATGTGGGGCAATACACCTACCAGGTTGGCTCTCTGACAACAACGGGAACACTGACAGTACAGACAGGTAAGAATCGATCCATATCATATTTCATTTCTTATGACAAGCAGCATTTACCAATTTGTCAAACACATTAACGTTGCTGCTATTGTGTGTAGATCAGTCGCTTGCGTTCATTCAAACTAACTGTCGATGTGAAGGAAACTAAACATACAGTATTACAAATGATCATTCAGGGTCTGTCTTATTTCACTTTCTCACATTATTCAACATAAGTAAAAGTGACCAAAGGGAAAATTCTCATATGTTCTGATCATGTCTTTGATCATGATGTGGTCAATGTACGAATTATTTCATTCTCGTGTTAATCTTGAAATCCAAAGAACAACAATACACTCACAAACAATAACATTCGATGTAACATATACTACACTTGGTAATGACTGTGAAAGCACAATTTCATCGGAAAGGTAAATGCAAAACTGTTGAGCTAGATCTACACAAATGTTGTATCAATCTTACTAAACGTCGAGATAACTATTGGGATCGATCCTTAATAGACGTTTAACCATTGCATGCTGGAAACTAGTTTTCTTTCATGTAATGATGATGATGGCGGTATCAAGTGTCAGTGATATTTGAACCCTTGTACACAGGGATCCATTGGACGTTATTTATACTTCCTCGCATGAAAGCATGGGAATTTAATCGTGCTGAATGTTGTCAAGTTAGCATGATTAAACGTCAAATCTCTTAGTTCGTATTGGTCCATTCCATTTACAATTTCACAGCACATGGGCTGCTAAGATGAGTGATGACAATGCTAAGTAACATATAACACAGGGAGTAACACCCCTCTGAAACCAGTGGATACCATGGTGGGCCAGGGAAGTCTAGAGTGTTGCATATATCAGACGTTTACCGTTTTGGTGAGAGCCATCAGCACGGATATGGTGCTGCACAGCAAGGACCATAATCATCGAGAATGGAATTCGAACCCAAGATAACTGGATACAGGCATAGCAAAGTATGGTGTCCTTAAACGATGGAGCTACATTTGCACCCAATTAACAAATAAGGATACATCGACGAATACCACATCTGTAAATATAAACCAGTGATATTTTTCATCAACAGCGCTGAGTATTCTTAACGGACTGCAGAGCTTCAATGTAGCACCGGGAACAACAGTGACCTTTGAGACATCCCTCTCCCAAGCAAATGTCAACAGCGGAACGTGGAGAAGAAATGGAGCGGTGCTGACCAGCTCTGCCAAGTATCAGATCACAGTGGTAGGACAAACGCAACGTTTGGTCATCACAAACGCCCAGTCCTCTGATGTGGGGCAATACACCTATCAGGTTGGCTCTCTGACAACAACGGGAACACTGACAGTACAAACAGGTAAGAATGGATCTGTGTCATATTCCATTTCCTATGACAAGCAGCATTCACCAATTTGTCAAACACATTAACGTTGCTGCTATTGTGTGTAGATCAGTCGCTTGCGTTCATTCAAACTAACTGTCGAAGTGAAGGAAACTAAACATACAGTGTTACAAATGATCATTCAGGCTCTGTCCTATTTCACTTTCTCACATTATTCAACATAAGTAAAAGTGACCAAAGGGAAAATTCTCACATGTTCTGATCATGTCTTTGATCATGATGTGGTCAATGTACGAATTGTTTCATTTTCGTGTTAATCTTGAAATCCAAAGAACGACAATACACTCACAAACAATAACATTCGATGTAACATATACTACACTTGGTAATGACTGTGAAAGCACAATTACATCGGAAAGGTAAATGCAAAACTGTTGAGCTAGATCTACACAAATTTTGTATCAATCTTACTAAATGTTGAGATATCTATTGGGATCGATCCTTAATAGACGTTTAACCATTGCATGCTGGAAACTAGTTTTCTTTCATGTAATGATGATGATGGCGGTATCAAGTGTCAGTGATATTTGAACCCTTGTACACAGGGATCCATTGGACGTTATTTATACTTCCTCGCATGAAAGCATGGACATTTAATCGTACTGAATGTTGTCAAGTAAGCATGATTAAACGTCAAGTCTCTTAGTTCGTATTGGTCCATTCCATTTACAATTTCACAGCACATGGGCTGCTAAGATGATTGATGACAATGCTAAGTAACATGTAACACAGGGAGTAACACCCCTCTGAAACCAGTGGATACCATGGTTGGCCAGGAAAGCCTAGAGTGTTGCATATATCAGACGTTTACCGTTTTGGTGAGAGCCATCAGCACGGATATGGTGCTGCACAGCAAGGACCATAATCATCGAGAATGGAATTCGAACCCAAGATAACTGGATACAGGCATAGCAAAGTATGGTGTCCTTAAACGATGGAGCTACATTTGCACCCAATTAACAAATAAGGATACATCGACGAATACCACATCTGTAAATATAAACCAGTGATATTTTTCATCAACAGCGCTGAGTATTCTTAACGGACTGCAGAGCTTCAATGTAGCACCGGGAACAACAGTGACCTTTGAGACATCCCTCTCCCAAGCAAATGTCAACAGCGGAACGTGGAGAAGAAATGGAGCGGTGCTGACCAGCTCTGCCAAGTATCAGATCACAGTGGTAGGACAAACGCAACGTTTGGTCATCACAAACGCCCAGTCCTCTGATGTGGGGCAATACACCTACCAGGTTGGCTCTCTGACAACAACGGGAACACTGACAGTACAAACAGGTAAGAATGGATCTGTGTCATATTCCATTTCCTATGACAAGCAGCATTCACCAATTTGTCAAACACATTAACGTTGCTGCTATTGTGTGTAGATCAGTCGCTTGCGTTCATTCAAACTAACTGTCGATGTGAAGGAAACTAAACATACAGTGTTACAAATGATCATTCAGGCTCTGTCTTATTTCACATTCTCACATTATTCAACATAAGTAAAAGTGACCAAAGGGAAAATTCTCATATGTTCTGATCATGTCTTTGATCATGATGTGGTCAATGTACGAATTGTTTCATTCTCTCGTTAATCTTGAAATCCAAAGAACAACAATCCACTCACAAACAATAACATTCGATGTAACATATACTACACTTGGTAATGACTGTGGAAGCACAATTTCATCGGAAAGGTAAATGCAAAACTGTTGAGCTAGATCTACACAAATTTTGTATCAATCTTACTAAATGTTGAGATATCTATTGGGATCGATCCTTAATAGACGTTTAACCATTGCATGCTGGAAACTAGTTTTCTTTCATGTAATGATGATGATGGCGGTATCAAGTGTCAGTGATATTTGAACCCTTGTACACAGGGATCCATTGGACGTTATTTATACTTCCTCGCATGAAAGCATGGAAATTTAATCGTACTGAATGTTGTCAAGTAAGCATGATTAAACGTCAAGTCTCTTAGTTCGTATTGGTCCATTCCATTTACAATTTCACAGCACATGGGCTGCTAAGATGATTGATGACAATGCTAAGTAACATGTAACACAGGGAGTAACACCCCTCTGAAACCAGTGGATACCATGGTTGGCCAGGAAAGCCTAGAGTGTTGCATATATCAGACGTTTACCGTTTTGGTGAGAGCCATCAGCACGGATATGGTGCTGCACAGCAAGGACCATAATCATCGAGAATGGAATTCGAACCCAAGATAACTGGATACAGGCATAGCAAAGTATGGTGTCCTTAAACGATGGAGCTACATTTGCACCCAATTAACAAATAAGGATACATCGACGAATACCACATCTGTAAATATAAACCAGTGATATTTTTCATCAACAGCGCTGAGTATTCTTAACGGACTGCAGAGCTTCAATGTAGCACCGGGAACAACAGTGACCTTTGAGACATCCCTCTCCCAAGCAAATGTCAACAGCGGAACGTGGAGAAGAAATGGAGCGGTGCTGACCAGCTCTGCCAAGTATCAGATCACAGTGGTAGGACAAACGCAACGTTTGGTCATCACAAACGCCCAGTCCTCTGATGTGGGGCAATACACCTACCAGGTTGGCTCTCTGACAACAACGGGAACACTGACAGTACAAACAGGTAAGAATGGATCTGTGTCATATTCCATTTCCTATGACAAGCAGCATTCACCAATTTGTCAAACACATTAACGTTGCTGCTATTGTGTGTAGATCAGTCGCTTGCGTTCATTCAAACTAACTGTCGATGTGAAGGAAACTAAACATACAGTGTTACAAATGATCATTCAGGCTCTGTCTTATTTCACATTCTCACATTATTCAACATAAGTAAAAGTGACCAAAGGGAAAATTCTCATATGTTCTGATCATGTCTTTGATCATGATGTGGTCAATGTACGAATTGTTTCATTCTCTCGTTAATCTTGAAATCCAAAGAACGACAATCCACTCACAAACAATAACATTCGATGTAACATATACTACACTTGGTAATGACTGTGGAAGCACAATTTCATCGGAAAGGTAAATGCAAAACTGGTGAGCTAGATCTACACAAATTTTGTATCAATCTTACTAAATGTTGAGATATCTATTGGGATCGATCCTTAATAGACGTTTAACCATTGCATGCTGGAAACTAGTTTTCTTTCCTGTAATGATGATGATGGCGGTATCAAGTGTCAGTGATATTTGAACCCTTGTACACAGGGATCCATTGGACGTTACATGTATTTATACTTCCTCGCATGAAAGCATGGACATTTAATCGTACTGAATGTTGTCAAGTAAGCATGATTAAACGTCAAGTTTCTTAGTTCGTATTGGTCCATTCCATTTACAATTTCACAGCACATGGGCTGCTAAGATGATTGATGACAATGCTAAGTAACATGTAACACAGGGAGTAACACCCCTCTGAAACCAGTGGATACCATGGTTGGCCAGGAAAGCCTAGAGTGTTGCATATATCAGACGTTTACCGTTTTGGTGAGAGCCATCAGCACGGATATGGTGCTGCACAGCAAGGACCATAATCATCGAGAATGGAATTCGAACCCAAGATAACTGGATACAGGCATAGCAAAGTATGGTGTCCTTAAACGATGGAGCTACATTTGCACCCAATTAACAAATAAGGATACATCGACGAATACCACATCTGTAAATATAAACCAGTGATATTTTTCATCAACAGCGCTGAGTATTCTTAACGGACTGCAGAGCTTCAATGTAGCACCGGGAACAACAGTGACCTTTGAGACATCCCTCTCCCAAGCAAATGTCAACAGCGGAACGTGGAGAAGAAATGGAGCGGTGCTGACCAGCTCTGCCAAGTATCAGATCACAGTGGTAGGACAAACGCAACGTTTGGTCATCACAAACGCCCAGTCCTCTGATGTGGGGCAATACACCTACCAGGTTGGCTCTCTGACAACAACGGGAACACTGACAGTACAAACAGGTAAGAATGGATCTGTGTCATATTCCATTTCCTATGACAAGCAGCATTCACCAATTTGTCAAACACATTAACGTTGCTGCTATTGTGTGTAGATCAGTCGCTTGCGTTCATTCAAACTAACTGTCGATGTGAAGGAAACTAAACATACAGTGTTACAAATGATCATTCAGGCTCTGTCTTATTTCACTTTCTCACATTATTCAACATAAGTAAAAGTGACCAAAGGGAAAATTCTCATATGTTCTGATCATGTCTTTGATCATGATGTGGTCAATGTACGAATTGTTTCATTCTCGTGTTAATCTTGAAATCCAAAGAACGACAATACACTCACAAACAATAACATTCGATGTAACATATACTACACTTGGTAATGACTGTGGAAGCACAATTTCATCGGAAAGGTAAATGCAAAACTGTTGAGCTAGATCTACACAAATTTTGTATCAATCTTACTAAATGTTGAGATATCTATTGGGATCGATCCTTAATAGACGTTTAACCATTGCATGCTGGAAACTAGTTTTCTTTCCTGTAATGATGATGATGGCGGTATCAAGTGTCAGTGATATTTGAACCCTTGTACACAGGGATCCATTGGACGTTATTTATACTTCCTCGCATGAAAGCATGGAAATTTAATCGTACTGAATGTTGTCAAGTAAGCATGATTAAACGTCAAGTCTCTTAGTTCGTATTGGTCCATTCCATTTACAATTTCGCAGCACATGGGCTGCTAAGATGATTGATGACAATGCTAAGTAACATGTAACACAGGGAGTAACACCCCTCTGAAACCAGTGGATACCATGGTTGGCCAGGAAAGCCTAGAGTGTTGCATATATCAGACGTTTACCGTTTTGGTGAGAGCCATCAGCACGGATATGGTGCTGCACAGCAAGGACCATAATCATCGAGAATGGAATTCGAACCCAAGATAACTGGATACAGGCATAGCAAAGTATGGTGTCCTTAAACGATGGAGCTACATTTGCACCCAATTAACAAATAAGGATACATCGACGAATACCACATCTGTAAATATAAACCAGTGATATTTTTCATCAACAGCGCTGAGTATTCTTAATGGACTGCAGAGCTTCAATGTAGCACCGGGAACAACAGTGACCTTTGAGACATCCCTCTCCCAAGCAAATGTCAACAGCGGAACGTGGAGAAGAAATGGAGCGGTGCTGACCAGTTCTGCCAAGTATCAGATCACAGTGGTAGGACAAACGCAACGTTTGGTCATCACAAACGCCCAGTCCTCTGATGTGGGGCAATACACCTACCAGGTTGGCTCTCTGACAACAACGGGAACACTGACAGTACAAACAGGTAAGAATGGATCTGTGTCATATTCCATTTCCTATGACAAGCAGCATTTACTCATTTGTCAAACACATTAACGTTTGCTAGTATTGTGTGTAGATCAGTCGCTTGCGTTCATTCAAACTAACTGTCGATGTGAAGGAAACTAAACATACAGTATTACAAATGATCATTCAGCCTCTGTCTTATTTCACTTTCTCACATTATTCAACATAAGTAAAAGTGACCAAAGGGAAAATTCTCATATGTTCTGATCATGTCTTTGATCATGATGTGGTCAGTGTACGAATTATTTCATTCTCGTGTTAATCTTGAAATCCAAAGAACGACAATACACTCACAAACAATAACATTCGATGTAACATATACTACACTTGGTAATGACTGTGAAAGCACAATTTCATCGGATAGGTAAATGCAAAACTGTTGAGCAAGATCTGCACAAATTTTGTATCAATTTTACTAAACGTCGAGATAACTATTGCGATCGATCCTTACTAGATGTGTAACCATTTCATGCTGAAAACTAGTTTTCTTTCCTGTAATGATGATGAAGACGGTATCAAGTGTCAGTGATATTTGAACCCTTGTACACAGGGATCCATTGGACGTTATTTATACTTCCAAGCATGAAAGCATGTGAATTTAATCATACTGATTGTTGTCAAGTAAGCCTTATTGATCTTCAAGTCTCTTAGTTCGTGTTGGACCATTCCATTTACAATTTCACAGTGCATGGGCTGCTAAGATGATTGATGACAATACTAAGAAAGATGTATCAGAGGGACTTACGTCCCTCTGCAACAATTGGATACCATGGTGGGCCAGGAAAGTCTAGAGTGTTGCATATATCAGACGTTTACCGTTTTGGTGAGAGCCATCAGCACGGATATGGTGCTGCACAGCAAGAACCTTAATCATCGAGAATGGAATTCGAAACCAAGATAACTGGACCCAGGCATAGCAAAGTATGGTGTCCTTAAACGATGGAGCTACATTTACACCCAATTAATAAATAAGTCTATATCGACGAATACCACATCTGTGAATATAAACCAGTGATATTTTTCATCAACAGCGCTGAGCATACTTAACGGACTGCAGAGCTTTAATGTAGCAACGGGAACAACAGTGACCTTTGATACATCCCTCTCCCAAGCAAATGTCAACAGCGGAACGTGGAGAAGGAATGGAGTGGTGCTAACCAGCTCTGCCAAGTATCAGATCACAGTGGTAGGACAAACTCAACGTTTGGTCATCACAAACGCCCAGTCCTCTGATGTGGGGCAATACACCTACCAGGTTGGCTCCCTGACAACAACGGGAACACTGACAGTACAAACAGGTAAGAACCGATCTATGTCATATCACATTTGTTTAAAACCAGCCTTAAGCAAATTGTCAAACACATTAATGTTTGCTACTTATGTGTGTAGACTAGTCGTCTTGCGTTCAATGAAAATAACTGTATTTGGGGAAGTAACTAAACATGCAATATTAAAGATGATCCATCAGGATTTATTTGGCTTTAAATTTCTCACATTATCCTTAAAAGATAAAAGTGACCAAAGGTAAAACTGTCATATGTTCTGACTATGTCTTGTGAGTGAGTGAGTATAGTTTTACGCCGCTTGTAGCACTATTCAAGCAATATCACGGCAGTGATCATGTTGTATTTGTCAAAAAGTGATCAATGTAAAAATTGTTTCATACTTATGTCAATCTTAAAATCTAAAGAACGACAATACACACAGAAACCTGAACATCTGATTTGAAGTATACTACTTTTTGGAATGACTGTGAAAACACAACAAATAAGAATCTATCGACCTCTAATACAGCTGTAACTTTAAACGAATGGTATTTCATCAGCAACGCTGAATATAATTAGAGGTCTTTAGTTAAAGAACATTTAACTGTTTCACTATTTCAATTAGTCTAAATTCTTTCAAGGGAGGTAACCATCATTTGAGCCTTTTTGATATCATGTGAGGCTTTTGTGAAGAGTTGACTATTGACGTCAAATTTGCACCATTGGTAAAACGAACTGTATGTGCGTGTGCCAACACACGATGAGACATTCCGGATTTACAAACCAAATGCACTGGGAGAATTTGGTATGCTTCGGAACGTACAGAATGAATTCAGAGCTTTCACGTGTAAAGTGACGATTATTATATTTCCTAAAGTCCATGTGTCATCCTTTACATGATAATTCCAACATATGGATTGCTTTAGATTATATTGATTTATTACGAACTGTGTTATCTGGAAAAGTCCGTTTGCTTCATTTATTAATGTTTACCTGATTTTAAAAAGAAATGTACTTGGGAAAATAATCCGGGTTTGGAGCGGTTGAACACTTTTAGATATGAAGTTTTATTTATCGAGTGACGTCACTGACTGTTTTAACTATATTGAACCGCTGTCACCACAGCCCCAGTTAATGGTGGATACTCCGAGTGGACACAGTGGAACGGCTCCCCCTGCAGTGTCACCTGTGGAACTGGACCGAGCGTTCCGCGGACAAGGACAAGAGAGTGCAACAACCCCGTCCCCATCAATGGCGGTCAGCAATGCACAGGGGAAAACTCAGAGATACAATTTCAACCCTGTACATTTGCCTTATGTGTTGGTAAGTAGGGCACTATTCTCAAATATGGCTATAATGATACATGAACTTAACATTTATACCATAACAAAATTGAAAATCATTTGTGTCGAGCCAATGTCATATAACTATTTTGAAAACGCTGAAATGCTCATGTTTATGCATCTGTCTTCTCTCTTTTTCAGATCCAGCCAATCGTGAGTACTTGAGTTACACCATTCACCAATTGTATTGAATGTCCTTTATCTACTGATAGACCAACGTGCCTTGTCATATATCACACTGTACCGCCTTTCTAACAGCAATGCATCCATGTTTGAACAGAGTGGCAGTGTGGCAGAGTTGCAAGCGCCTGTCAAGCATAAACTAACTTATATTGATTTGTTTGTTTGTTGTTTAACGCCGCACTCAGCAATATAAATTCCAACTATATGACGGCGGTCTGTAAATAATCGAGTCTGGACCAGACAATCCAGTGGTTGACATCATGAGTATCGATCCCCAAATTTGGACACGACAAGCATCAACCAATTGCTAGTCAGCGAGCCTGACCAACCAATCTCGTCAGTCGCCTCTTACGAAAATCATAGTCGGCTGAACGGCAAGCATGGGTTGTTGATCATGAAAACCTAATCTATCCCGGATCTTCATGGGTCTAACGTATGTTGAGGTTTTACGTATGTCTAATTATTAATTTCTTTACACGGTCACAGTACACTGTCACACGACAATGTATTGCATCTTCAAAGGACATAAAATAGTTGTGGGATATCTTCAGAAGATCTATGATTGCTTTTGTTATATATTCACAAATATATACACACTCGTTATATTTTCAACAGAACTGGAATAGTAACATATATGTGGTAGTTTGTGTTACATCTTAAGCATATCTATGATAAGTTATGCTATATAGTGGTAGAGCATCCGAACGCAGAGCGGAAGGTCCGGGGATTGATCGGCGGATGCGTCATACCAAAAGACGTTAAAAGATGGTACTTTTTGTTACCCTGCCTGGCGCTCGGCATTAGGGGCTAAAACAAGAACTGCTCTGAATGGGGTATTCATGTTAAACTGCGGCATGGTATCTCACTGGGCTAGCGCTATAAAATCGGCATTGCTATCCCAAGCAGCCACATACACATACACATACACATACACATACACATACACATACACATACACATACACACACATGCATGTAAGTCGCTTGATAAGTGCAATACTTTTGGACGCGGCGTAAAACCCTATTTCAGAACACCTCACCTCTTCGTCATATCTGTTACAGCTTCCGTTAGGTATTAAACAGGCCTGTGATAGTTTCTGTTAAATTTTCTACAGATCTGTGCAGGAACGCTCAGAACAGGAATGGCATCGGATATCGACGTCATCCTATGGACTGTGACAAGTACGTGCAGTGCTACTACAACCCCAACGGCAACATCATCGGTGTCTACAGAACCTGCCCCACCGGCTACTACTGGGACCAGACCAATCTCAAGTGTGACGAAAACTGGAAGGTCACGTGTCCTCTTGGTAAATGTCTTTTATCAACATCTTCAGAAGGTTCAAAATTTGTGTTTTAATTACATAAATTCGTTATAAAAAAACAGATATCATATTGACGTCAGTTCAAAAGAATGAAAAGCTACCCATTCCACAATCATCAAAAATCTCATCTAAAACCAGAGTCTATTGTACGATTCAGACTATATCATGAGCATGTATTTTGGAATCACTATCAAATAGTGATGATACCAGTTGTTCTTCCCCGTCACAAATACAGGCAAAGGCAAGTCAATTTTACACCTGAAAATTGCACCGGACATGATTTTGTCACTGATGCGTCAAATCTGAAATGTCCTCAACAGTTCTACCATCAAGATAATGCTAAATGTTGTGACACTGATCAAACAAATTTTGTAGGATCAATACAGTTTATACAGACACAATCGTCAAGGAGATATTCCGGAACACTAGAAGTCCCAGTTTTTGCATGAGAAATACTGTTAAATGCTATCTTTACAGAAACCAAATGCAAAAAAAGTAAACTACGGTTATAACGAACACGCTTATAACGAACTGACGGATATAACGAACTTACGTTTTGGTCCCGACTACTTGCTGTAGTCATGCAGTATATGTGCTTATAACGAACTACGGTTACAACGAACTAAAATTAGTAGTCCCTTTGAGTTCGTTATACCGTAGTTTACTGTATATTACCCGGTACATCGCTGCATCATTGACTAATCCCCTGCCTTACCTTTACTTGCACAGTCATCTAAGAGGGGGCACGGGTGGCCCAGTCGTCTAGGGCGCCGCGATTCGCTGTGCAGAGTTGCGTCCCTTGGACACGCCAGAAACCTATGATTGTGGGTTCGAATCCCGGTTCGCCCCGATTATGTTTCTAGGTTTGTCAGCACCATACCCGTGCTCGTGGGTTTCACCGAACTGGTAAACGTCTGAGACCTGCATCACTTCTGGCTTTCCTCCCACATTAAGCTGACACGCCGCGATATAACTGGAATACTGTTAAAAGCGGCGTTAATCCCAACTCATATTACTCACTCACTCAGTCATCTAAGTTGCCACAGTTCAGTGTGCAGAGCTACCCCACTTAGCAAGGCAGGCACCCTCGATCGCCAGTTGGATCCGATCACGTTTCTGTTTTTGTTAGCACCATGGTGCTCGTGGGTTTCACCGAGGTGATAACCATCTCAGATATTCATCGCTTCGGGGTTTGCTCCCACATCTTGTGAAACACGCGAATCCTCCAACAACAACCCCAGGGTACAACATTCCAGGCCTCAGTAAAGCTGACCGGTGGAGCAGGATACAGTTTCCTCATCGCGAACACCTTGTATCTTCACTATTTGATAGTAATTCATACATACATGCTCGTGATATAGTCGGAATTATACAATCCTCTCTGCTTTTGTGAGAGGTTTCTTATGAATATTGGACCGCCTCCGTGGTCTAGTGGTAGAGCGTCCGCCAGGAGAGCGGAAGGTCCAGGGTTCGATCCCGGGCCGCGTCATACAAAAAGACGTTAAAAGATTGTACTTGTTGTTACCCTGTCTGGCGCTCGGCATTAAGGGGCTAAAACAAGGACTGGTCGGCTCGGAGTCAGTATACTGTGTCTGAGTGGGGTATTCATGTTAAACTGATGCATGGTATCTCAGTGAGCTAGCACTATAAATCGGCATCAGTCCGGACTGGTACAAGCAGCCGCACACACACATACACGTGCATGCACGTCGCTATATAAGTGCAATAATCTTGGACGCGACGTTAAACCCAATTTCACCTCACCTCACCTTATGAATATTGAAATGGTGTTGTCGCTTTTATCTCACTATGAATATCCTAGAATTTGTACCATGTTTCTCTGGGGTGTCAACCAGTACTTGATGAATGTGTCTAATGTCCATCGCAACCAGTATGACGTTAAAGATGAGTGAGTGAGTTGGGTTTAACGCCGCTTTTAACAGTATTCCAGTTATATCGTGGCGTGTCAGCTTACTGTGGGAGGAAAGCCTGAAGTGATGCAGGTCTCGGACGTTTACCACATCGGTGAAACCCACGAGCACGTGTAAGGTGTTGACAAACCTAGAAACATAATCGGGGCGAACCGGGATTCGAACCCACAATCATAGGTTTCTGGCGTGCCCAAGGGACGCAACACTGCACAGCGAAACGCGGCGCCTCAGACCACTGGGCCACCCGTGCCTCCCGTTAAGATCCAGAACGCACTTGACTGTAGATGCATATATGTTTCAGAACGATGCACGGGCAAATGTAAACCTCACTACAAGATGGACGGCGGTTGCAGGTCCTACTGGGAGTGTTCCAGAGGAAGCTCAGTCGCCAAGTGTTGTAACCAAGGGTTCATGTACGTGCAGGATGAAGGATGCAGACCCAACTTCTTCTGTCGTGACACCTGCCCTTCGTCCTGTGGAGACTCTGGTAAGATAAAGGAAGAATGTCAGTGACTAAAGTTTTACACCATGTATTGCAATGTAGAAGCGACAACGATTGTACCAATGTGAATCAAACCATACCACTGCTAGCTCATCATCAAATGTGTAAACCTTTATGCACAGGCATGTTTTAAACCTAACGGAAGCTTTTACAAGCTTATGAAGAAGAGGTGGGCTGAATGTAAACCTTACGCACTGATCCCGTTAACGAGTAGTGGTAGTGGTTTATTTCAGTAAGTCAGGCCACAGGCCCATTTTATAATATATATTCAAGCATTCAAACATCTTGCGCCACAAGTTCATGTAGTAATATCAATACTAATCAGTACAAGGCTATCTGAGACCATATACATATGGTGGTAGAATTAATAGTTTATATAATGGACAACTGCTTGCTCCTCATTTTAAGAGCAAAGAATGTAAACTTGGCAAGATTATTGATTGTGAAAGCATTACTGGTGGTAAATAAAACTTTACACTTATGCTCTGATGGAGATGTATAATAATAACTTGGCAGAAAGTTCCTTCTAAGATCGTCATAAAACGGACAAACTACACACACATGGTATTCTGTTTCTACATTTTGAATGATACAAAATGGACAAAGTTGTTAACGAGTGAGTCAGGTGGAAAGTGTTCCATTTCGAAATGACAAATGACATGTTTGTATCCATGTGTTCCCTAATGTCATGTACATTCAAAACGTGCAGTGGTTTTAATTCATCATATTAAATTATTAATATACTAAGTTTATCTATACGTTTCGTCCATGTATCTTATTGTGGTGTGTCCCTTTGTTTACACAGACGTATGTGCTAAGGTCCCAAACTGGGACAACGATATCGCCACCTACAACGTCACTGTGGGTTTCCTCGGCGTGATGGCGACTTCATGTCGGTTCAGCTCCTACTTCGACGTCTCAGACTGCGGATGCAGCTTCCTCGACTCAGGTGCGTCTAGGATTGTGGTGGCGACAGATGATAATAAACGAAAGTTTAAACCTTATTTACTTCTAAGTGGATTAGTGGTATTCACACAAGGTTTAACTATTGGGTAACAAGATTTGGTCGCGCTCATGTTGCCCATGTGACGATCAATGCTAGGGTGACCAGCATACGACCAGGCGCTTGCTTCCACTTTAATTTCCACTATCAAAGAGAATAAAGGTTCCGCGTTGTACGTGTCTCTACACTGTATTACCGTTATATGGCAGCGTTGCAGCTTGGTGTGGCAAGTCCCAAGTTACAAACCCGCAAGCACCGGAATAGTGCTGACAGATCATGGATGTGGCAAATACTGGGATTCGAAATTTTCACGAACAGATCGCAACTCAGCATATCTTTGTTTCGGCGCATTGTACAGATAAGAATTGCACACGCATACCATTTATAATTTTCAGTTGCCTACTTTTAGGCTGGAGATGCCACAATTTGTGCCGTAGTTTTTTATAGTTGTGTCTATAAGCTATTATAACATACAAGTACTTGCTACGGAGCAGTTTGGTCAAATCGATTAAGGTTATTCTAATAACGTACAGTATAAGACGGACATCAAGTCTTTTCAACACCTCAGGTCTCCGTCCTACAGTACATGTGTGGTACAAATATGGTTGACATCCTATTAACATCAGTGAGAACCCACATAGACATTACTACTACAGTAGAAATAAGAATGTATTTTATGAGAGCTTGAATTAGTTGCATGACAAAACGTGCAACAAGTGAGCTTACATCCCTTGTTTGTTGTCATACATTTTCAATACAGATAAACTATTTACAAAACATATCGTAATAACAACGTTGTTTAAGTACATAATATAGTTTCACACAGCACGATTATATGCACACAAACATATTTATATGCCTTGGATATCATGCTCTTACACTAAACATCTCGTGTTTCAGGCTGTAGTCCTCAATATGACCTGACTTTCAATGATCAGGGAGTTCTGAATTTTGCCCGTGCAGCGTATCTGTCATACAGTAACGTCACTGTTGCCAACGGCATTGCCACCTTTAACGACAACAGCATGTTCTTTGCCAACATCTCCATCAGCAACATCAACACCACCCATCAAAACGTTGTCCGGTTTCGTTACCGGGAGTCTTCCTCATCCGGAGATCGTCGTGTTCTTGTCAGTGGTAGCAACTGCGGGAACAAGAACAGCCTCGTTATCGCCATTGATAATGAATACCTCACATTTGAGGTGATGTCCCGGTACGGCAACACTGTTAAGCTGCCAATTTCAACAGCGGTAAGTGGTTTGTCGTGCAATGTCATCAAATATCACGCTTTTAGAAAGAATGTCACATGCCAAGTCATAAGTTCCAGTACACGTTCAAACCATCGCTCAACATCAACTGAAAGTAAGAGTTGTACGAAAACAATATCGTACAACAGGATTTATTATGAAATAACTTACCACAAACATCGAGAACATATGTGTGACCAACAAGAAGAAGTTATAGAATACCAACAGAATACAAAACATTTAATTGCCAACATCAATGACAGCAAACAGCAATGTCGTATTTATTGTCAACAAAAGCATAAAAGATAAATAATACAGATATGACATATTATATACACAACAAATATGACATATTATATACAAAACAGATATGACATGATATATACAATACAGATATGACATGATATATACCATACAGATATGACATATTATATGCAATACAGATATGACATATTATATACAATACAAGTACAACATATTATAAACAATACAGATATTACATATTATATACAATACAGAGATAACATATTATAAACAATACAGATATAACATATTATATACAATACAGAGAGAAAACATATTTAAACAATACAAGTACAACATATTATAAACAATACAGATATAACATATTATATACAATACAGAGATAACATATTTAAACAATACAAGTACAACATAATATAAACAATACAGATATGACATATTATATACAATACAGAGATAACATATTATAAACAATACAGATATAACATATTATATACAATACAGAGATAACATATTTAAACAATACAAGTACAACATATTATAAACAATACAGATATAACATATTTAAACAATACAGATATAACATATTTAAACAATACAAGTACAACATATTATAAACAATACAGATATAACATATTATATACAATACAGACATAACATATTATATCATAATATATATCACAGTAGTGCACAGGTAGCATTAGATGTGATGGTTATTGGTGTCAGCCCATCACTGCGTAGGTCGCATTTAAAGATGTGATGGTTATTGGCCTCAACACAGTATCACATTCAAAGATGCTATTGTTCTCTTCAATGTAGTCAGTTTGTACAATCACAATCAAGAAAATGTCTCTGGTGGCTGTCTTCTTACTCCTGTCGTACGTTTCTTTACAGGGCATGTCGAGATATTCCTGGAAGAGAGTTACCATGATATACAGTGGCTATGACATAGTTGCTTCCATAGAATCTGAAAATATCAAATATACAGCCCGAGTGTATGGTAAGTCGGTGATTCGTTAATACACATCTACACGAATATCTGAATGAAAGCTTGAAAACCCTTTCCATATTCATAAGACCGTTGTCTAGTGGTAGAGCGTGCTCCAGGAAGGCGGAAGATGTCGGGATAGATCCCCCGACCACGTCATACCAAGAGACAGTACGAGATGATACTTGTTGTGACCCTGCATTCGGCATTAAGGGGCTAAAACAAGAACTGGTCGGCTCGGAGTTAGTATACTGTGTCTGTGTGACGTGTTCATGTTAAACTGCGGCATGATATCTTAGTTGGCTAGCACTTTAAAATCGGCATTAGTCCGGACTTTTACAAGCAGCCAAACACACATGCATGCACGTCGCTATACAAGTGAAATAGTCTTGGACGCGACGTTAAACCCATTGCACCTCACCTCCCTATTGATATGAAACTCTGCCAAAAGCAGAGGCGATTGTACGATTCCGATCATATCATGAGCATGTAGTGTGGCTTCGGCGTTTTGCCTATATGTATGTGGGTAAGGTAATAATATATTTAACAAATATCCATAACGAACACCCGGCGTTATCGCTGTAACTTGAAGGGAGTAGGATCTTAAAATGCCACTTCCAATTTGGTTCGACTTTTCTCTCTCCTGAGGCACTGTCCTCATTTCAGTACTCTAACTTCAAGTTGTATATTTGAACAATGTGCATCTTCTCGGGCAGGGAGTTAACTGACTGTGAAAGTCCAGTTTCCACACTTGCCGAACTTGGCTGTAAATTCTGGGCTCGATCATAGTGCAACCCGTGGCTTTTACGAGTTATGTCCCTTCTATATCCCTCCTATTTACCAATCAGATTCCACCTCTCATATCACTTGCAATTGCCTCAAACAAAATGACGGCGCCCAGTGAAGGCGATCTGATCTATAATCAATATAATCTTTACTGTAATAAAACGGGTCTTACTTCACGAAGTGCATCAAATCACGGGAACACCTTGTCTAAACATATGAAATGATTTGTAATATATATGTTGACGCTGCATTGACATAATTTTAGCCGAGTTTGGCAGAGTGGAAACTTGAATTTTATTGTCAGTTAACTCCTTTGCCTCGAGAAGATGAACAATGTAATAACTAGACATTCATCTCCGAAATATTCCGTTCTGTGCTGATCTGGATCTTGCACTCCACAGCATCCGATTCCAACATCATCGAGTGTGGACTGCGCTTTGGATATGATGGGTCCGGAACATCAGGAGCGAAATTCGTGGGAGAACTCGATGAGGTAACGTTCATTGCTAGATCAGCCTCATCGTATCGCTCTTGATAGATGGCGTTCGTTACAAAAAGTAAACTCATGTCCAAACGAAAGTATACCAAGAGTAAGACTATGACAGAAAAACAAAAGCATGTGGGAAGTCAATATGTAAATGATTCATTAGAGTTGTGCTTAAAACATAATGTGTAAAACTCCTCATGTTATTCAAACAAGAATCTTTACGACTGACTGAGACACAAAGACACGCGGGGTTCGAAAATGATAAGTCTCACAATATCACTGTCACCAAACTTGTGATCAACATGACTTTAAATCCTCTGAAAGCACATTCGTGTATGTCCACCCCGTGCATCAATGTACGCCTGGACACGACGACGCACCGCTGACGTCAAACGTCGGATGACGTTGGGCGAAACCCGCTGCCATTCGTCAAGAAGACATTGTACCAGTTCATGACGGTTGACTGAAGCCGCTGGTCGTCTTCTGATCTGTCGGTCAGGGTTATCCCATACATGTTAGATTGGCTTCATATTAGAACATGCTGGCCAGTGTAAAACGTGAACTGTGTTGTTCAGAACGTTCTGTGTGAGCCTTGACGTATTTCGGGTGCGTGGATCCTTGTTGCTCCATACCAAGGGCTTTCTCCCTCTGTATAGCGGCGATTAAATGTAGCATATGTTCATGGTGCGTTTTGTTGATGTGGTCATAACGTCACCAGTGTTTGCACATAACTTTTGCACGTGCTTATTGTCCTACGTGACCCAAAGTCGTTGTGGCAAAATGCAAATTTGTCAATTTTTTTAAATTTTCAAATTAGTGAAAACTTTTTTTAGCTGGTATACTTTCTTTTTGACATTAGTTTAATATTGCAGTGTTCGAAGGTCAGGTTCAGTAGAGAAGTTCTGTACAAGTATTACATGCTAATATGAACAGAATAATATCTAGTCAATGAAAAGATAGGACACAAATCTCAAAAATACTCGATACGTTTAGAATCGATAAGCTATATGTCATATTTCCTGTATTGGAAACACTTTCAAAACAGTCTTTGTTCACGATTAGTGCAAATAAAACTGTTTGAGTTCTTAAGAGAGGAGAACATTTTAATGGATGTGGTTAAACGAGTTATCTCCCTTATACTGTGTAATTGGGTAACATTTTGCAACTGTCAATACCATATATGTTTAGCTACGTTTATCTGTTTTCCTTTTCTAATTCAGTTTCTTATGTTTTCAGATTGCGGTTTATTCCTGTAATCCCGGAAATATTCTTTGAGATTTTTATAACAAACATGAGTTCGAAAATTCTAAATATCAAACACGATGACATATTTTTCAATTTCATAATTACATGTACAAATGCTGCAAAATGCAAAAGCACACCCATGTCAAGATTCGTGTATGAACAATGTTCGCTGCTGGTAGTATAGTAGAAAGCACATATTCAAATGTCGTTGATGAAGCATCCTTGGATGTCTCATTTACACATGACGTATCAGATTCATCTAGATATATTGTACATACACATGGACCTATTGTATATTAATGGCTGTTAACTTGTTCACTTACCGCTCATGTTTAAAAGTGTAAGCTAGTTTCTTTACGCAAAAATATTTTCTCATATACTTTTCTAAATATATGTATACATAAAAATAAAATATATTTTCAAAAGTTTGTTGAATGAGTTAAGTTCTTGCACACAAATGGATCACATATGATTCTTGTTTGCTGGTGATTTTGTATGTATGTATGTATGTATGTATGTGTGTGTGTGTGTGTGTGTGTGTGTGTGTGTGTGTGTGTGTGTGTGTGTGTGTGTGTGTGTGTGTGTGTGTGTGTGTTCGTACGTATGTATGTATGTGTGAACAAACAACTGATTTCTTCAGGTGTTTAAGCGTTAAATATTTAATAAGCATTAAGGCGTGCATAAAAGAGTTTTGGCAAGCACACATATCTTGACTCTGTTTTGTAAATATATATATTTAAAATTTAAAACATAACCCAACTCTGAATACTTTATCCGACGTGTAGCATCAGAGAGAAACGTGGAGAGAAGTAGTCAGCGTTGTGTTTTGCTCTCCATGTATTGGGTAGTACATCGAATTGCAAGTACCACTCCAACCCACTCACTCACTCGCCTAGTCTGAATCATTTCTCGTCTTGCTCTGAAGCCCTTGTTGGGTTTGTTGGGTTTTATTGCAGTTAACGCCACATTTAGCATTATTCAGCTATATGACTGTGGTCTCTAAATAATCGAGTCTGGATAAGAAAATCCAGTGATTGATACGATGAGCATCGACCTAGATACGATGACATGCAAGAACCAAGTCAGCGACCCTGACCACCCTATCCTGTTAACTGGACTCTTGAACAAGCAATGGTTGTTGGAGACCAATTCAAACACGGATCTACACGGGGCCACCATCGTTAGGAAAGGATTGGACCATTTGGCCAGGCAGCGCACTTTCATTTGTAGAAATCCATTGGCAGTCTACATCACTGATCGTGATGATCGGGTGGATCGGGTGGATCGGGTGGAGATTTCCTACTGATGTGCGGCGTCAGACAACAAACACATTTTTATGCTTATCCTTTTCGCAAACACCCGGTGTCTTCACGGATGTTCAGTGATCCATTCATCACTATTTTGCCTTTACCCTCAGTAGAAGTTTGGTTTCGGCAGACAGTCGAGACTGGTTATTCTCTGTCATTGACGTTTTATATTTGTATTGCATGCAAAATTGTGAATGATAAACACATCTACATGCAGCTTAAGCCACATGATTCCATATCATAATCAACTCTAATGTAGTAGGGACTTATCTGTTCTTGTAATAACTAGGAACGATATGTACACCAGCTCTAATGTGTTCTGGAAACTGTAAGTGTCTTTGTACAACTTGAAACAACATGAACCGTTTATGGGAACCTCATCATTCATTGTCCAGTGGCTTATCTCGAGTTTCACGTGTTTATGGAATCGTGAGTGTGTGAGTGAGTGAGTAAGTTTGGTTTAACCCCGCTTTCAACTGTATTCCAATTATATCACGGCATGTCAGCTTAATGTGAGAGGAAAAAGCCCGAAGTGATGCAGGTCTCAGACGTTTACCACTTCGGTGAAACCCATGAGCACGGGTAAGGGATTCGAACCCACAATCATAAGTTTCTGGCGTGCCCAAGGGACGCAACTCTGCACGGCGAATCACGGCGTCTTAAACGACTGGGCCACCCGTGCCCCCTGTGGGGACTCTATGTAAGCCGGAAGGTGTGTTTATTCATCTCAACTGAAGAAGGATAAGACAACCGCATATATTGCCTGCATATTGCCTCCAAAACCAATGGTGTTTGATGACAGCCAAATATTGAGTTCCAAAAGCAGAAATAGTGTTTGAAAACGTTCAGTGGAAAACTGTGGTAAACCAGCGCGTCCATAAGTTCATCAAGGTGTCACTATTTTGTGTACGTATGCTAGTTCAAAGTTTACAGCCATGTGAAAAGTCTCCCGCTCATAATTGTAGCGAAATGAGTAAATATATACATTGCAGACATCAGGTCATTGTTTGTTTGTACGTTTGTTGTTCAACTCCCGCATTCAGCAATATTCCAGCTGTATGTAAATAATCAAGTCTGGACCAGACAATCTAGTGATTGAGCATGGATCTATGCAATTGAGATACGATGACATGCATCAATTAAGTCAACGAGTCTGTACACCCGATCCCGTTAGTCGCCTCTTACGACAATTCTGACCAGTGAGTGAGTGAGTGAGTGAGTGAGTGAGTGAGTGAGTGAGTGAGTGAGTCAGTGAGTGAGTGAGTCAGTGAGTCAGTGAGTCAGTCAGTCAGTCAGTCAGTCAGTCAGTCAGTCAAACCCACGGGCACGGGGGCACTTGTGAACCGGCATTCGAACCCACATAGGTTTCTAGAATGCTCAAGGGACACAATTCAACCCTACACAGATAGTTGTGGCATGCAAGACCACTGGGCCACCCGTGTCCTGTATTATATGTTATGTTCAGAGATAGTGTGATTGTAAAAAAGCTGTGGTTGCGAATGATTTATCTTAAAAGATAAAAAATACATTGAACAATCGAGGATTGATCAATTCAAGGTAGGATTTGGTTTAAAATGTATCAATAACTATACAGAGAAATGTCAGCTGAATAAGGGAAGGTCCAAAGTAACGTAAATCATGACAGGCACCACTCGTTTTAAACGGCAACTGTTTCACTTTTTCCGAAATAGAATTTAATATAGTTTCGTAAAGACGGACTTCAATTAAAATAAAATTATAAAAAATGGTCCACTGATCACAGATGTTTGGGGTATTTCTTAAATATTTTAGTAAATAGTCCGTTAGTACCATGAGTATGGATCTGCCAGACCTTGCATCATTATAATAAGAAGAACTGCGACAACTTCCGTGACCCATAGACAGGAATGGCGCATGCATTTGTATTGATATTTATTGACTATATTCCCTTCGCTGGTGGTCCGTACTCCTTGTGTAAGTATGGACTACCCGATATTTTTTGTCCCCAGAAAAAATTGGGGAAGGGAAAATATAGTACGTTCCCCCTGAAATAAAAGCGACAAAACCCTTTCCATATTCATAAAAACATTCTGCCATAAGGAGAGTCGATTGTACTATTCCGACAATATTGTGAGCATGTGTTATTGTGATCACAATATAATCATGAACAGTTATGGTACCATAAGACATGATTGTCATCCGACAGACAGACAGACAGACAGTCTATATCATTGATCGTGGTCATCGGGTGGATCGGGTGGAGATTTCTTACTGATGTGCGGCGTCAGGCAACAAACACGTTTTTTTATGCTTATCCTTTTCGCGAACACCTGGTGTCATCACGGATGTTTAGTGATCCATTCATATACATTGCACCGCTATTTGCCTTTACCCTCAATAGAATTTTGGTTTCGGCAGACAGTCGTGACTGGTTATTCTCTGTCATTGACTTTTTATATTTGTATTGCATGCAAAATTTGTGAATGATAAACACATCTACACGCAGCTTAAGCCACATGATTCCATATAATAATCTGCTCTAATGTAGTAGAGGCTTATCTGTTCTTGTAATAACTAGGAACGATATGTACACCAGCTCTAATGTGTTCTGGAAACTGTGAGTGCTATGTACAACTTGAAACACCATAAACCGACAGACAGACAGAGAGACAGACAGACAGGAGAGACAGACAGACAGACAAAAAGTCTGGCTGTCTGTCTGTCATCCGTTGATCAGGCTCCGTAACTGTTTGTCACTGTACCCGATGGCGCTGATCTCAACAAAATCAGATCGTTTAGTTCTCGCTACCGCTAAACAAAGATCTGAGGACATACCATTATTTGACCGGCCAGTGGAATGACCAATCAGAAGGCAGCTTTGTCGTGCTTTACGGCACGGATTTCAAACGCTTCGCAACATATTTTGACAAATTCTCGATTACTAATTGAAACCTGAACAAAAGAACATTCTGGAATGGCAAATAGATGGTCTAGATTGTAAAGAGTCGGTCGTTAAGCCCGTAACTATCGTCCGGAATACCCCGTGTTAAAGTTTTCGAGGTTGTATGATTAGAAAACACATCCCGACTGTCACTTTTATGATCTGGTAGGCGACGCTCTGATTGGTCGGATGAAAAGTCGTTCTGACGTAACCCCTAATGTGCTGTCTTCAGATCTCTGTTTAGCGGTAGCGAGAACTAAGGTCTGATTTTAATGAGATTGCGATGGGGCGGATCGTTCGTCATGCAGTGTCCAAGTCACGACTTGATCAGTGATGTGGGTGTAACAGTGCTGACTCGGGCGTTGAACATAGACGACCTGCATGTCCCTGCGTGTGTTGCCACAAATTTAAATAAAGGTCGATTTCAGACATATCCGATGCAACTGTGGTCATTCCATTAATTTGTTGATTCAGATATTATTTCATACCTTTATGGGAAATAATATTTAATTCTCCTTATTACTCCAGAGTATAATAATTCCTGTCAATAAGTTAGAAAGTTTTATCTGCGTTGAGCTAATGCTTTGTCAGTACCTGGTTGTCTTGATCAGTAAATGGTCCGTACTCTGCCCTATATCAATGCCTTTAAGAGTTATTGGGTAGGGGAGGTTGCACAGTTCAAGCGCGCTTGACAAAACGAGCGTGAAACATGTAACATTAAATCTCGCTTAACACATACCGTATTGTGTATACTGTATTGGTGAAATATCTGATACGCAGAATGGGGATTAAGGAATTATCGATTTCGTGACCAGCAACATGTTCGTGTGCGCTGCTTGGCTTGCTTTGTACATGTGGTTTTTTGTCGCAACAACTGTGTACGCTGTACACACGAAGTACACTAGGTCCTGTATTGTTTGGTTTCTTGTTACCATATCCGCTTGATTAAAATCGTGACGTCCATACAAACTCCACTGTAGGCGCACGTATAGGCTGTGTTGAAGCTGTGTTGAAGCTGAATTAAAGCTGAATTGAATGTGTATTTTCATCATTTAGAGAATGAATTACTTTATGATGAAAGTCACGACAGTAAGAGGAACGTCCGATGTACATCTGTGGTATGGCTAATACATGCAACGTGGGGTACGTTACGTTACGCTGTGTTATGTTGCGTTACGTTACGTTTTTTTATGTTGCGTTACGTTGTGTTTACGTTGCGTTGCGTCGTATGACGTTGTTTTCTATTGCACTAATTACGTTGCGTTGTATTTTGTTGTACTGCTTTACGTTGTGTTGTGTCGTGTCGTGTCGAGGTCGTATCGTGTTGCGTTGCGTATGTAAAGTTACGTAACGTTATGTTATGTCGTATAATCATAAAGAGGGGATTCAGATGCTAGTACATATTTCTTCAGCGTTTTCCGTCGCAGCAGCAGAATGCCTGCAGTTGTACGCACCCGAACTATGATTCATTTCGTGTTAAGTTTCAACAAAGTCAGTATGTTGCTCATTTATATCAGTACATCGTTCAGTTACATCAGTATGTTGCTCATTTATATCAGTACATCGTTTATTTACATCAGTACATCTTTCATGTACTTCAGTATGTCATTCATTTACATCAGTATGTCATTCATTAACATCAGTACATCCTTCATTTACATTAGTACATAATTCATTTACATCAGTACATCGTTCATTTACATTAGTACATCGTTCATTTACATCAGTACATCATTCATTTACATTAGTACATCGTTCATTTACATCAGTACATCATTCATTTACATTAGTACATTGTTCATTTACATCAGTACATCATTCATTTACATTAGTACATCGTTCATTTACATCAGTACGTAATTCATTTGCATTAGTACATCATTCATTTACGTCAGTACATCGTTCATTTACATCAGTATGTCATTCATTTATATCAGTACATAATTCATTTACATAAGTACATCTTTCATTTACATCAGTATGTCATTCATTTACATCAGTACATCGTTCCTTTACATAAGTACATCATTCATTTACATCAGTACATCATTATTTTACACCTGTACATCGTTCATTTACATCAGTACATCTTTCATGTACTTCAGTATGTCATTCATTTACATCAGTATGTCATTCATTTACATCAGTACATCATTCATTTACATCAGTACATCGTTCATTTACATCCGTCCATCATTATTTTACATCTGTACATCGTTCATTTACATCAGTACATCATTCACTTACATCAGTATATCATTCATGTGCATCAGATTATCATTCATTTACATCAGTAAATCATTTACGTGCATTAGTATATCATTCACGTAGACCAGTAAAATATTTCTAGTACAACAATATGTCGTTCATTAAGTTGAGCATAGCATTCATGACATTAGTACATCATTCCTGTACATTGCATATATATATTCTTTCACTAAAGTACATCATTCATTTACATCAGAATGTCATTCATTTACATTGATAAATAATTAAGGTGCATCAGATTATAATTAATTTACGTCACTAAATCATTTATTTACATCAATACATTGTACGTCATTCATATATATCGCTATGTTATGTATTTACAAAAGGACAGCATTAATTTAAATCATGAGTATGCCAGTCATTAACATCAATTCATCAGTACTTTACGTCATTTTAGCATTCATGTACATTCATATACGGTAGCATGTGCCAGTACAGCCGTTGAAATATGCAGCTACTCGCCGACTCGTCTCGCATCAAAACACGGGGCTGTGTACTCGGGGGCAGATGACCACAGAGTACGCTGATCACTGTGTCGGATTAACGAGACTGATTAATGAATGATTTCAGCATTTCGTTGCAAATTAGGTGTGTCGGAGTCGGAGTGCGAGACTGTCGGATTAACCGGTCTAAATAGCACTGATTTAAACGGTTCCCATCATTAGTATCAGAGAAAGCCGATTGTCGGATTAACGAGTGTCGGATTAACGAGACTTGACTGTACAACATTAAGTTGCATCAGGTCATCATGGTGGAACAATTCCTGTATACTCAACTGAAAAAGTAACTTAGCTTCTTATAAAGTTGTGAAAATGTTATGTTATTAAAACTCCAAACAAAATATTTGATCATTTGTCTAATCAATGCTTCATCACAACAAATGCATTGAGAAAACCGTATCTGGTAAAGATGGGTGGTGTAACTCAGTTAACAATGTCAATATCGGATTTGCGTTGATACAGACAAGGTGGCGGCGGCGTATTGAAGACACCAGCTTGTTTCAAACAGCATTGGGGATGTTGTTTTAAATGGCAACCAAAGATTGGTTCAACTGAGCTACCTTTACCGGCCGGTTCTGGTCCTGTCTTAGGCGTTGTTCCATCTCATCCCATACATGTTCTGTGGAGGAGAAGCCTGGAGGAACAACCGGCCAACAATGTTATTTTGCCTCAACAAGTCTGTTACAGGACGCTCAACATTGAGTCTCTTTTATGTTTGAAGACCACCAGAGCTGTCCAGATGAATCCTGCTCTCATCTGTGAACAGTATACTGTCCCAGTCCTGTCCTCCAAACCTCAGATACTGTCCGCACCAAGCTTTAAGTTAGCCGTGACTGATGCTGACGAGGAACAACATGAAGGTTACACGCCATGATATAACAGATATACTGTAAAAAGCGGCGTTAAACCAAACTAAATCACTCAAACCATCATTTAAGTAATCATCTGACCAATTCATCATCCGGGCCTAAAGAATCGGCCAATAAATATGTGTGTGGTGTGTGTGTGGACCCTCCGACCACATCTCTCTGTCTCTCTCTCTCTCTCTCTCTCTCTCTCTCTCTCTCTCTCTCTATCTATCTCTCTCTCTCTCTCTCTCTCTCACTCTCTCTCTTTCTGTGGTGGGGAGGGGCTGCTTGTGTTTGTCGCCCTCGACATTAAGGGGACAAAGCAAGGACTGACTGCTTCGCAGTGCAAGTGGAATCGTCTATAGTCAATTCTTACAATTACAGCTAATTCTGTCACGATGTATCCCCGATTGTCCATTACACCATGCATTGGTTACACAGCACTGACTGAATACATGTCATGGAAGTCACGTACGATGTCGTGTTGCCACTTTATATTTGAACGGCACTGACCCATAACCGCCTTTTCTATGGTTAAAAGTCTAGCTCGTGACTCCATACATCAATGTATTTAGAGTGAGGTATCTAGTATAGGCCTGTGTTCAATACATACACTATACACTCTCCTTTAGCTTAATACAAATCGTGAGCAGAGCACACACGGGACAGACCCGGGATTTTCCAAACGTGTAAACTGGTAGTCAAGGCGTGAGACTTCAAAACGCACTTGGTCGTCACGATGATATTGTGCCTCAATAGATCAACCCCGCCATGATATGAATCGGCACACTCTATTGAAACGATAAATTTTTTTTGTAAAAAGTACACACGTATATGAATAATTGATACATTAATACACCAACGAGTGCCAAAGGAATTCACGCATCTGACACTCCTTTGTATTCAAGCTCATCGAATACACTGTTGAACCTCCACAGCGTTGAATGGGACATATCTCAGTTGTCCGAGTATTAGTTCATATCTAAATTTGAATGGCGGTTGTGTGACTGTCCCACAACTTATAAAGCCTACCCAAGCCAGGGACCTGTCAGTCTCGACAAGAAGAGCGAGTGGGGAGGAGACACTCTTTATCGTCTTGCATAAACGTAAGATATATATATATATATGTTGTACTTTACGTCTTATCAGTCTTAAGCAAGCCTATGTTGACAATACCTGTGTAACTATGCATCTGACACACTATCAGTTATTACCTTTAGACTTTCTTTATAGTCCCTGCATGTCCACATGTGTACGTGTTTGTCCTTTCAACACTGAAGACATTCGTAGTTAAGATTTTTTTATTTATGAATTATTTGTTTCTATGTCTATACACGTGTATCTATTTCATCTTAAGGTTTGAATTTCAACGATTTATATAGGGGTGGTCGGGTAACCTATACCATAGTGGTTAAAGCCTTGTCAACAGAAGAACCGGGTCCGACTCCTGACATGTACGATTCCCGACGCCGTCTCATCATGATCTAGCTAGTACAGCAGGCACTTTATAAGCAGGCTGTATAATGGAGGTACTAGGACTGATTAGGCTGATTAGGCCTAATGAAAAATACGAACATTTCTGGCATATCAGTGTACATGAAAAATCTTTATTTTCAAGCTGACATCATTTTCATTACAGTTCGTTCGAGATGCTTTGTTCGAGACGGGAATGGCTCCTTGTTGGGGTGCTGGTGGTGGCGTTCCGACAGACTATCACTCAAGGTATGATCATGATTAGCATGTAAACGTTAAATTTGTTTTCGTTTTCTTCATCTTTATCTTCATCTTCATTTCTGCATTTTATTCAGAATAACTATTTATAAATAATTATTTTCCAAACTTCTTCCTTCTTGTATAATCACCTTTGCAGCTCAGGCCTAGTGGCTATATAAATCTCAGAAGTAATCTGAATGAATAAGAACTAGATGAGCATCTACAGCTTTATGTTTACCACACTTTTAAGAAGAATGAACAACAAACACTTCTGGACACACTGCTTGTAGTGGAGAGGACACCGACAGTCACTGGTTCACATTTGATAGGAATATGTAATTGTTTAGATAAGATGTTGTTCTATAATTTGGTTTTCCTGCTCTTTGTAATAACAACTCGATTCGTACCTTTAAGCACAGTAAGGCTAACTTGTGATACATAGAGCACATAAGGTGGTTGCACCAGTGAAACGTAGATATATTCGGCGTCTATTAAGTACGTATAAGCAATGGTACATCGTACAGCATCGTAAACAATAATATTCATGGTACTGATGAGGCCAAAGACCTATGGTACATTGTCTGTTGCGTGTTACAAATTCATACAGTTTCTTAGTTTCATAGCGTGATAAATGAACGTTGAAACAATTTCTCATAGTTTCTGTACAAGCACATGTCATTAATTAACATAATTTGTTACCATGTTAATTGTGGTAGAAATAGTTATTTAGATAGTTTGCTCTTAAATCATTATGCACTGGACATGCACATAAAAAGTGATATTCATCTTCAATATAATCACGGGCTTTCCTCCTACATTAAGCTGACACCCCGCGATATAACTGGAATACTGTTAAAAACGGCGTTAAACCCAACTCACTCACTCACTCAATATAATCAGTTTTACTATTCTTACAAAGAATATTTTCTCTTGCAATACCTCCACATCTGCCTGTTTCAATACATAGATCACGTGAGCCACAACGAAATGGAGATAGATCTGTTCTAAACTTTTGTAAATTTACACACTAAAGATAAGGTTCTAGTATAATAGTAGTCTTAAATGTAGTGTAGTAATTTGCTTTTCTAGAACTGGACAAGGAGCCATGCCATGTTGGGATGTACATATCATTTAAGGTCTGTGTCAATCAGCTGTCATGGTAGTATTCCATCGTCCATGTACAAAAACTGCTATACCCAATGTATGCATAGAGTTACCGTAGTCCTACTGAAAAGTCCGCCGTGGCTACTTTTGTTTGCAGATATACAACAGCTAGTGGATAATCCAAGCATCAACGCGGGCTCTGATGTTTCTCTGCAAGTAACTGCTTCGACAGCCGATCTGGCAGCAGGAACATGGTATCTTTTGGCTTCACCGAACCCGGTGCGTCAGTTGCCAAACAACGATAGAACCAGATACTCCGTGACCGGTCAGTTCCACCGACTCACTATCAGCAATGTGGTGGCGTCAGATGAAGGGCGGTACTACTACGTATATGGACAAGGACTAGTCACTCAAGGGGTGGTTACAGTTGCAACCCAAGGTAAAGGATGTTTTTATACATTGCATCTAGAGTTTACAACTTTTGAAGCATCAGTATTTGCTATTGCGAAATAAACCCAAAAGCCGATTAGAATAAAAAGAAATCGGAATAGCCTATAATGAGTGAGTTAGTATGGTTTTACGCCGCTTTTAGCAATATTCCAGCATTTCACGGCGGGGGAGACCAGAAATGGGCTTCACACATTGTACCCATGTCGGGAATCGAAACCGGGTCAACCGACTACCCGACCGCCCTGTTGTAATAGAGAACATTGGCCAAAATGATGTAGAACATTATGATAATTTGAGATGGAGATATTGGATATCTCTTGGTCATATGAGATGCATGCATGTCTTGTTGACAAAATGTCTACGGAATTTCGTGATGTTGAGCTTAACCTACAATTTGTGCGGAGTCGAGGTTTTAAACTGAAAAGGTGATTTTCATAATTTCATTTTTACTTGATATATTTGACCCCTTGTAAAAGCATAAAAGGTTTGGGCTTGATTTTGAGTAACTATGACGTTTTATAGATCATCGTTTTCAAATTATAAAATGGTTAAAACATTTGGATAGATTTGAAAAACATTGTTAAACATTACGTCAGTGTATTTGCACATGTGCTCCTATTAACTAGTCCTATGTGGGCGAAGTATGCATTGATATAAGCAATTCACAAATACACCGGTACGCAGCGAAACATAATCACCGACACAAATCATACCTTTATACATACTACACGATAAATAAGGAGGATATGTTATAAATATAGAGTTGAATGGATAATCGAAATGGAAATTCTAGTTTCACTTCAGTTGCAAAATATTATTTGGTTTGATCCCAAATCATTCCCTCTACACTTGGCCATATTGTTTATACTTGAAAGATGGCAGTGATGGCCGTGAGACATACTTGAGAGTTTCCCCTAGAGAGTTACTTCCCCACTCAGATGTATCAAATGTTGAGTATGTTTATTAATGAAACAGGGGAAGTAAACAAAGTAAATTTTTATTCAAAATTTGGAAATTTGGGTCGAAAAACAAAACAAAAATGTTATCTGTATTCTAAATGGCAAATGTCAATTTCAGCTGCAGTGTCGATCACAGGCAGCTTGATAGACGTGACAGCCCTCGAAGGCAGTAACTCTTCCATGACAACGACTGTCAGTACTGAGGGTGTCACGAATGGCGTATGGAAGCGAGGAACAACTGTCCTGACCAATGCTGCCGGCTACACAATTACTACTTCCGGTTTCACTCAGACACTGGTCATCCAGAACGTTCAAACAACTCAAGCAGGCACATACAGCTACACAGTTGGCGGGGCTTCAACACAGGCCACGCTCACAGTTGTCGGTAAGGACATGCTCTGACTGAAGTAATTTTATTAAATGTTATGTTACATCTAACGCTTATTGTAAAGCAATATTTTAGAATTCAAATCCTCTTTAAATGTCTGTGCTCTTTTCCTAGAGTTATTGTTAGCTTTGTAGCTTACATTGGTCTAATCAATGACACAGTTCAACTTCTAAAATATAATTCGCTTACCGTTGATTTTCTATTCTTACAAAACAAGAACATGTACTGACGTCTGTCAGAGAGATTCTGAGTTTATTTATTACATCATTATTGGTCGCATTCCCCGAATAAGCTTCACCAAGGAGTTGCAATCTTTGACAAGATGTAAGATGACAGGGTTGGGTCCCAGGACAGGTGGCCAGCCACCATACATTGTATTACCTCCCTTTGGCTGCGCATGCATCACTGGAAACGATGTAACTATTGAAACAGTGAACAAGAGTAATTTGACTTTCATTGTAGAATATCTACCCGAAATGGGAACTGACATTATCAGAACCGGAAGTTCATCTATCTTTGTTACAAAGTAAGCTGTGAGCAAGGGACGTTTTGGTTTGATCATATGCTTTCAGAAACAGGAAGTGACGTTACTAATACCTGGAATCTTAGCACACTTGTTACGTGACCCACTGTTGACCATTTTTGTAAACCAACGCACTTTTACTGAGATGACTGAACTCCGTACAAGTGCTTTTATTTTAAAGTGGTGCATGTATTCCACAACAAACATGTACGTATTGTACGTTTTCGAATATATTTACAGATCCAGTTGGATTCGATGTCCTCTCGCTTAACAGTATTTGGTCTATTGACACATAGTTATCATTTCTTCTGTTGTTATATTATTAATTGACAGGGAATCTAATAGAGGTTGAAGTGTGATTGTACTATTCTTTGTTGTAGGGCGACTTGGGAACGTTACGGGAAGCGTCGGGAGTGACGTGAGTTTCCCTGTGAACGTGTTTCCGGGCAACGCAGGAGGATCATGGTCCAGGAACAATGTGCAGATCGCTGACAGTTCCAAGTACCAAATCACACAGAGCAGTAATGGACAGTCACGACGTCTTCTTGTACGCAACGTCCAGACTGCCGACGCTGGGGCGTACGTGTACAGCGTGAACGGACAACAATCATCTGGGTTCTTAACAGTGGGAGGTACGTGTACAGTGTGAATGGACAACAATCAACAGGGTACTTAACAGTTGGAGGTACGTGAACCGTGTGAATGGACAACAATCAACGGGGTACTTAACAGTGGGAGGTACGTGTACCGTGTGAATGGACAACAATCAACGGGGTACTTAACAGTGGGAGGTACGTGTACCGTGTGAATGGACAACAATCAACGGGGAACTTAACAGTGGGAGGTACGTGAACCGTGTGAATGGACAACAATCATCTGGGTATTTAACAGTGGGAGGTACGTGAACCGTGTGAATGGACAACAATCAACAGGGTACCTAACAGTGGGAGGTACGTGTACAGTGTGAATGACAACAATCATCTGGGTATTTAACAGTGGGAGGTACGTGAACCGTGTGAATGGACAACAATCAACAGGGTACCTAACAGTGGGAGGTACGTGTACAGTGTGAATGACAACAATCAATAGGGTACTTAACAGTGGGAGGTACGTGTACCGTGTGCATGGACAACAATCCATAGGGTATTTAACAGTGGGAGGCACGTGAACCGTGTGAATGGACAACAATCAACGGGGTACTTAACAGTGGGAGGTACGTGTACAGTGTGAATGGACAAGAATCATCTGGGTACTTAACAGTGGAAGGTACGTGTACCGTGTGCATGGACAACAATCAACAGAGTACTTAACAGTGGGAGGTACGTGTACCGTGTACATGGACAACAATCCATAGGGTATTTAACAGTGAGAGGTACGTGTACAGTGTGAATGGACAACAATCATCTGGGTACTTAACAGTGGGAGGTACGTGTACAGTGTGAATGGACAACAAACAACAGGGTACTTAACAGTGGGAGGTACGTGTACCGTGTGAATGGACAACAATCAACGGGGAACTTAACAGTGGGAGGTACGTGTACCGTGTGAATGGACAACAATCAACAGGGTACTTAACAGTGGGAGGTACGTGCACAGTGTGAATGGACAACAATCAACAGGGTACTTAACATTGGGAGGTACGTGTAAAGTGTGAATGACAACAATCAATAGGGTACTTAACATTGGGAGGTACGTGTACCGTGTGAATGGACAACAATCAACAGGGTACTTAACAGTGGGAGGTACGTGAACCGTGTGAATGGACAACAATCAACAGGGTACTTAACATTGGGAGGTGCGTGGTGTTGTTGATTGGACGAAACAAGAAATTGGTAGTCGACTGTATTCTAATTTTTATTTCTAACACCCAGCTGCCTTTTCGCCTTGGACGGCCTGGATCAACTCCTCCTGTGTGGTCACGTGTGGAACTGCTGTAACGAGACTCACGTCCAGAACAAGAACGTGTCTGGCCGGTAGCGGGCAATGCAACGGTGCAACGTTCGAAAGCCGGCTTATCAACTGCCAACTTAACCCATGTCCTAGTAAGTTTTAGGGTAGCTGTTACTAAGTGAATAAATGCTTCCCTTCAATTTCTGTAGTAGCATTAACGTTGTGCTGACGTCTGAATGTTGAATCCTGAGAACATGATGCAACTCCAAAATACGGACGCATATAAGCATTTTGCAATATAGTGAGTGAGTTAGTGAATCTGGTTTTACGTCGCTTTTAGCCATTGTCCAGCAATATCACGACAGGGGACACCATTCATGGGCTTCACACATTGTACCCATGTCGGGAATCGAGCCCGTGTCTTGGGGCGTGACGAGCGAACGCTTTAACCACTAGGCTACCCGATCGCTTCTTGTGAAATATAAAACTTTGAAAGATATTGATGCCGTCCAGAAGAAATGAGTGAGTGAGTATAGTTTTACGCCGCCGCTTTTAGCAATATTCCAGAAATATCACGGCGGGGGACACCAAAAATGGGCTTCCCACATTGTACCCATGTCGGGAATCAAACCCGGGTCTTCGGCGTGACGAATGAACGCTATATTAACCACTAGGCTACCCGATCGCTCCTTGTGAAATATAAAACTTTGAATGTATCGTCATGCACAGGACATTTAGCGACTTTCATGCATATTCGTTGTGGAAACTACCCTTTGAAACCGAAGGCCGAGAATGAATGAAACAGCAAACATGCAAGCTCGCTCGCCTTTTTTTCCCGCTCGCCTTGATTCAACTTTCATGTCTTCCGGTTTCATTTCTAACTAGCATATCTCCAACTGTGTTTTCCCGTACTCATGGACGTAATGTTTGAATCTGGCGGTAACTGACCATGTTATTTGACACAGCCGCTTTCTCCCGGCCATATATCTTCCAGTCCGATACAGCCTGGCGTTTGCAGTTTTTTTCGCCTCTTGCCTTAATTGACATGTCCTATGAACATTGTTTTGATCATACTCTCTGTTGATTGGCTACTGACTGTGTAGGCGTGTCAAGTTATGTGCATACATTAAACGATCACCTGATTCATGTCACGCCACAGTATGTATTCCTACACCGGGAATGTTTATCAATCTCGTCATTTTTGTCTGTTTTGATATATACAACTGTTTTTGTTTAAACTATTGAAGATAAAACATGTTTTACGTTGTCGAATTTAAATATAAGCATTGACTGTGTTTTGTTTTCGGTTCATTGAGGTATGAATCGAAAAACCAATGTGCAAACTTTTGTCAGAATCCACTTCATACAGATTGCACATCGGTTTTTCGAGTCATACCTCAATGAACCGAAAACAAAACACAGTCAAACCTTAATTGCAATATTACCACACGTTGAAATGTTGCATTCGATTTAGATCACGTAGCATGAAACGTTTCATGTTGTCTGTAAATATTGTTTTAAAATACGGTATTTCAAGTCTGGAAGAGGTTGCAATGCAAGTTTAATCACCTTTTGTAAGCTTGATTAATTTTGTGTTCTGGGATGGACACAAAATGGATAGTCTCGGTTTTTAATCCATAGATGCGCGGTTGTCAGTCAGCTTGTCAAACGGTCAGTGCAACACTGTGCTGACATCTCGGTTCAAAGTGAACCAAATTGTACAACATTCAACTTGATTTGATTGTCTTGCCATTTGTTTCAAAACGCGATAAGTGCTACCAAGCCATCGGTGAAAGCGTTGAACTTTTGCAGAACAACAATGATATGGGAACGTGTTCAGTCGAGTATTTCATGGTTGGTCATTCATTGTTTACGGGAATCAGGAACGTTCGGCTTTTAAACTTACCTCAAACCATATTAACATTTACGACTATTATCCGTCAATAGTATCATACAGATAACTGTACAGTGGGGAAAGATAAATCTTTCTGACCCCTCCGTCAGAATTGATAAATTGACTGTCTGATACTTAAATATTTACGTGTATGTGAAATGGGTATCCAATGAAATCATTTATATCATTGAATTTTCTGTCCCCTTTGACACTAATGTGATTGACAAGATTGAGGAAAAACATGGCAAATATGCAGACCTCGCTTTCGAAAAGTCACACTTGCATCCCAAGTACCAAGTTGTCCGACACCCTATTGTTCTCGGTGCCTTAGGTTTGGTACCTCCCAATCTGTTGACTGACATTGGGAGAGTACCCGGGATTGCTACCAAGACTACAGCCCTTCTGATAATCTGGGTAATGCAGAAGGCTGCAGTGTTAGGGAGTCTTCACGTTCTCCGAAATGTTCTGGGTGGGTTTGAGTAGGCAGCTCTTCCTGGGAGAAGTCCCATTCGCTGTCTGGGCTGCGTGTAGAGGGGGCAAGAGCCCTGGGCTGATGATGAGCCTATCCAGTCTGACTCTGCCAGGACCACCCAAACCCTCTTTGCTGTATTTTATATTTTTTATTTACTACTACTACTACTACTACTACTACTACTACCACTGTTGTGTACTACTGCTACTACTACTACTACTACTTCTACTGCTACTACTACTACTACTACTACTACTTCTACTACCACTGTTGTGTACCACTGCTACCACTACTTCTACTACTACTATCACTGTTGTGTACTACTTCTACTACTACTACTACTACTACTACTACTACTACTACTACTTCCACCACCACTGTTGTGTACTACTACTACTACTAATACTACTACTACTACTACTACTACTACTACTACTACTACTACCACTGTTGTGTACTACTGCTACTACAACTACTACTATTACTACTACTACTACTACTACCACTGTTGTGTACTATTGCTACTACTACTATTACTACTACTACTACCACTGTTGTGTACTACTACTACTACTACTACTACTACTACTACTACTACTACTACTACCACTGTTGTGTACTATTGCTACTACTACTATTACTACTACTACTACCACTGTTGTGTACTATTACTACTACTACTACTACTACTACTACCACCACTATTGTGTACTACTGCTACTACTACTACTACTACTACCACTGTTGTGTACTACTACTACTTCTACTAATCATAATCATAATCATAATCATAATAAATCAATGTAACAATAACATATCGCACTTCTCTACATATTCATGTAACATGACAGAAATACGGGTACTATGTCACATAAAACAAAATTGATGGATGATGATGATGATGTTTAACAAAATACTGTTCCTTCAATTGTGTTTTTTGCTCCGCAGTTAATGGCGGTGTCTCGTTTTGGGGATCGTGGAGTCAACCAACATGTACACAGATTTGTGGCGTCGGAGCAACTGGTCCATCTATACGTACACGAACATGCTCCAACCCCTCCCCTGCAAACGGTGGCTCATTTTGTAGCTCCCCACTCAGCGAAACATCGATGAGGCCATGTAACATACCCGCATGTCCAGGTGAGACAGGTGAAATAGTTGCCATTAACAATCTTAACACTTTCTGGGTGGCACGGGTGGCCCAGTCGTCTAAGACGCTGCGACTTGATAAGCAGAGTTGCGTCCCTTGGGCACGCCAGAAACCTATGATTGTGGGTTCGAATCCCAATTCGCCCCAATTATGTTTCTAGGTTGTCAGCACCATACCCATGCTCGTGGGTTTCGGCGAAGTGGTAAACGTCTGAGACATGCATCACTTCGGGCTTTCCTCCAACATTAAGCTGACACGTCGCGATATGACTTGAATACTGTTAAAAGCGGCGTTAAACCCAACTCATTCACTCACTTAACACTTTCTTAACACAGGAGGCAAAAGTCCAGTGTTAAGGTGAAAGGTTGTAACCATTCATTAGAGTTCTGAGCCACGTCTTCATCAGGACATTGACATCTTGTAGACGTCACATATTGTTTTCATATAAATTCCTTTAAAGACCATCACCTTTAGAGTCATCCAATGTAGTAGGTATATAAGGTAAACAACATTGAAACAATGTGAATCATGAGTCACTCTTCTTTGAAAAATCAGGCTTAAAGGTCTTGGGTTCATATTTGAAAGATATATTTTTCTAACATTAACCTGGCCCGACTTACTAAAACTAAAATATTTTAAAAAGCGGTGTTAAACACAATCCGTATCACTGTAATATTATTGAACATATATATATTTAAAGTTTTTTCTTATGTATGCGTTTCCAAAATGGAAGTGGGCCTCAGAAGTGGAAAACTTAAAAGTGTCAATGTGCCAATAATAATATTTCTAACTGCTATTAAATTACATTCATTGGATGTTTCCAGTGCTTCCTAACAAATCCGAACAATAAAGTATTGTGACTTTGGGATAAGAAAGTGATACATGACGTCATATCATTATCTAAATGTATGGTTTCTGAAGGAGACGGCAACTGGGGTGAGTGGACACAGTGGAGTGGTCCCTCCTGTCCTGCCTCCTGTGGTCCTACGGCCAGACACAACGCTGTAAGAGTCAGGACCTGTAATAATCCAGCCCCCAGCAATGGCGGTGCTCCCTGTTCTGGTGAAAGCGTTGAGCGTGGAGACCGAGCATGCGGACCGGCTTCCTGTGGTATGTACACGCCACTAGCAGTAGTAATTGTGATGTTTGGTAGTTTAGTTGTAGCAGCAGCAACAGTAACAGCACCAGCACTAGTGATAGTAGTAGTAGTAGTAGTAGCAGTAGTACACAACAGTGGTAGTAGTAGTAGTAGCAGTAGTACACAATAGTGGTAGTAGCAGTCGTACACAATAGTGGTAGTAGTAGTAGTACTAATAGTAGTAGTAGCAGTAGTAGTAGTAGTAGCAGTAGTACACAACAGTGGTAGTAGCAGTCGTACACAATAGTAGTAGTAGCAGTAGTAGTACACAATAGTGGTAGTAGTAGTAGCAGAAGTACACAGCAGCGGTAGTAGTAGTAGTAATAGCAGTAGTACACAACAGTGGTAGTAGTAGTAGTAGTACACACTATTGACAGTAGTAGCAGTAGTACACAATAGTGGTAGTAGTAGTAGCAGAAGTACACAATAGTGGTAGTAGTAGTAGTAGTAGTAGCAGCAGAAGTACACAACAGCGGTAGTAGTAGTAGTAATAGCAGTAGTACACAACAGTGGTAGTAGTAGTAGTAGTAGTAGTAGCAGAAGTACACAACAGCGGTAGTAGTAGTAGTAATAGCAGTAGTACACAACAGTGGTAGTAGAAGTAGTAGCAGAAGTACACAATAGTGGTAGTAGTAGTAGTAGTACACACTATTGACAGTAGTAGCAGTAGTACACAATAGTGGTAGTAGTAGTAGCAGAAGTACACAATAGTGGTAGTAGTAGTAGTAGTAGTAGCAGCAGAAGTACACAACAGCGGTAGTAGTAGTAGTAATAGCAGTAGTACACAACAGTGGTAGTAGTAGTAGTAGTAGCAGTAGTACACAATAGTGGTAGTAGTAGTAGCAGAAGTACACAATAGTGGTAGTAGTAGTAGTAGTAGTAGCAGCAGAAGTACACAACAGCGGTAGTAGTAGTAGTAATAGCAGTAGTACACAACAGTGGTAGTAGAAGTAGTAGCAGAAGTACACAATAGTGGTAGTAGTAGTAGTAGTACACACTATTGACAGTAGTAGCAGTAGTACACAATAGTGGTAGTAGTAGTAGCAGAAGTACACAATAGTGGTAGTAGTAGTAGTAGTAGTAGCAGCAGAAGTACACAACAGCGGTAGTAGTAGTAGTAATAGCAGTAGTACACAACAGTGGTAGTAGTAGTAGTAGCAGAAGTACACAATAGTGGTAGTAGTAGTAGTAGTAGTAGCAGTAGCAGTAGCAGTAGTACACAATAGTGGTAGTAGTAATAATAGCAGTAGTAGTAGTAGTAGCAGTAGTAGTACACAACAGTGGTAGTAGTAGTAGCAGTAGAAGTAGCAGAAGTAGTAACGTCAGAAGCACCAGCAGCAAAGCAGTTGTAATAGTAGTGGATGCAGTACTAGTAGCAGCAGTCGTAGTAGTAGTAGTAGTAGTAGTAGTAGTAGTAGTAGTAGTAGTAGTAGTAGTAGTAGTAGCAGCAGTAGTAGAACAAGTAGCAACAGTAGCAGTAGCAGTAGGATCAGTAGAAGCACCAGAAAAAGCAGTAGTAATAGTTCTGGGACGCATAAAACCCCATGTACCGAATTTTAACGAATTTATCTTACTGACATGTTTAAATGTGACTTTGTAAAATAATTCAAATAAATTTCAAATTGATAGAGAGCAGCTGCTCGATTGAGCTGAGGATAGCTTGCGCTATGTCACGTGACATCCTTTGGTTCGGAAAAGCGTGCTGCTTTTTTGCATTGAAGCCGGGTATAAAGGATTTATTCTGTCTCTCAGAAATGCACGTGCAGCATGTAGTGCTCTTGAGCGGTATAATAGATTAATTCCCCCGCTGATAAATTTATTACCCTACAAGGCGGGTTACATTGTATTTTATCAAGATTACGTTAACCAATCAGATCTCATCATTCTGACATGGATGTATGATAATAGTGATTGTAGTAGTGAGTGTGAGTGAGTGAGTATTGTTGAACGCTGCGTTTAGCAATACCCATTGCAATATTCCAGCAAGCAATATCACGACAGGGGACACTAGAATTGGGCTCCACACAGTGTACCCATGTCGGAAATCGAATCCGGGTTTTCGGCGTGACCGGCGAACGCTTTAACCACTAGGCTACTCCACCGCGCTAGTTGCAGTAGTAGTGATAGGAGTTTTAGTAGTAGCTGAAGTCGTGCTATTGCATTAGGTAGTTGTTGATGTAGTAGTAGTACAACTGTTTCAGCTTAGCATAGGAGGAAAGTCAATGGTAACGGTCATAACTATAGACGTGTAGGTTTTCGTGTTAACAGGGGCGGTCGGGTAGCCTTGTGGTTAAAGCGTTCGCTCGTCACGCCGAAGACCGGGTTCGATTCCCAACATGGGTACAATGTGTGAAGCCCATTTCTGGTGTCCCCCGGCGTGATATTGCTGGAATATTTGCTAAAAGCGGCGTAAAACCATACTCACTCACTCACTCGTGTTTACAAACCATTCTCTGGGGGAAATCCGGGGTTCGAACCCAGCATTAACAGATCTGTACAAAAATGCAACATCCGTTCTGTTTATCCAATGCAAATCCATTCACTGTTTCTTCGTATTTAACCCATTTGAATTCTGGGTCAAAAAGGGACTGCAGTCGCTGCTATCTTATATTACCTTGTGTATCGTCGGCCGTATTGGCCAGTGAGATATTTATATATCGGGAATATCGTAAGGCCTGAACAACATTATTCACAAACGTTTTTTTCCGTTTTAGCATAGGCACGTCATTACTCATATATTTTAAAATCAGAATAATTAAAGTTCACAAATGTTTGGATTCTATCACATGCTGAGAGTATAAAAACCGTTTTGTGTGGAAATTTGTCAACTCCGAACATCGCGTACATCACAGGAACAATAACGTGATCACAAACGGTTAACCATTTGCGATGGTTTAACCAATCGCTTTTTCCGATTTTGTTATATTGGTAGTCGACTGTATTATAATTTTTATTTCTAACACCCAGCTGCCTTTTCGCCTTGGACGGCTTGGACCAACACCTCCTGTGCGGTCACGTGTGGAACTGCTGTGACGAGACTCACGTCCAGAACAAGAACGTGTGTAGCCGGTAGCGGGCAATGCAACGGTGCAACGTTCGAAAGCCGGCTTATCAACTGCCAACTTAACCCATGTCCTAGTAAGTTTTAGGGTAGCTGTTACTAAGTGAATAAATGCTTCCCTTCAATTTCTGTAGTAGCATTAACGTTGTGGGGACGTCTGAATGTTGAATCCTGAGAACATGGTGCAACTCCAAAATACGGACGCATATACGCATTTTGAAATATAGTGAGTGAGTTAGTGAGTCTGGTTTAACGCCGCTTTTAGCAATTTTCCAGCAATATCACGACAGGGGACACTAGAAATGGGCTTCACTCATTGTACCCAGTGTTTGCAATATTACCACACGTTGAAATGTTGCATTCGATTTAGATCACGTAGCATGAAACGTTTCAGGTAAATATTGTTTTACAGTACGGTATTTCAAGGCTGGAAGAGGTTGCAATGCAAGTTTAATCACCTTTTGTAAGCTTGATCAGTTTTTTTGTTCTGGAATGGACACAAAATGGATAGTCTCAGTTTTTTATCCTCATGATGCGCGGTTGTCAGTCTGCATGTCAACCGGTCAGTGCAATACTGTGCTGACGTCTTCGGGTTCAAAGTCAACAATATTCCATAACATTCTACTTGATTTGATTGTCTTGCCACTAGTTTCTAAATTCACCAAATCAAAACGCTATAAGTGCTACCAAGCCATCGGTGAAAGCTTGAACTTTTGCAGAACGACAATGATACAGGAACGTGTTCAGTCGAGTATTTCATGGTTGGTCATTCATTGTTTACGGGAATCAGGAAATTTCTGCTTTTAATTTTATCTCAAACCATTTTAACATTTACGACTATCATCCGTCAATAGTATCATACACATAATTTTTCAGTGGGGAAAGAATGGATTAATTGGCTGTCTGATAGTAAAATATTTACTTGCATGTGAAATGGGGACATAATCAAGTTCAATTGCACACAAAGCAGTCTAACTATAGGATATTACTGTACCTACGTAAAGACAGTGCTTCAATTGCACACAAATCGGTCTAGCTATAGGATATTACTGTACCTACGTAAAGACAGTGCTTCAATTGCACACAAATCGTTCTAACTATAGGATATTACTGTACCTACATAAAGACAGTGCTTCAATTGCACACAAATCGGTCTAACTATAGGATATTACTGTACCTACGTAAAGACAGTGCTTTCAATTGCACACAAATCGGTCTAGCTATAGGATATTACTGTACCTACATAAAGACAGTGCTTCAATACCACACACATCAGTCCAGCTATAGGATATTACTGTACTTATATGAAGACAGTGCTTCAATATCACACAAATCAGGCTAGGAAAGTGACGAAACCGAGTCAACTTTATTCGAACCTTATTGCCTAAATTATATTTCACGTCCCGTTTTCAGGAGAGACATTGTTCTCCACATTCTCCTCTTTACATATTTTTGACACGTGTTGATTACCTTCTTAATCATTTATAGACCCAAGAGTCCTTCTGACATACGATTCCACTTCCGAATGTGATTATGGTTGTACCCTTTGTACCCAGCAACACTGACGTCAAGCAATACCTGGAATCAAAGACACGCCGTGATGTAACTGCAAAATTGTCCAAACATGCCTTAAACACAAAAACCCCATATACTAGCATGAATCTATACTTTCCTATTTGATTTCCAGTCAATGGAGGATTTAGCATGTGGGGGTTTTGGCAGACATCCGCCTGTCCTGCCACCTGTGGTACATCCGCTACTAAGCTGAGAACCAGAAGCAGACTCTGCAGCAATCCTGCCCCACAGTTTGGTGGTAGAAACTGTACAGGGCCATTTGCAGAGACTCAGCAAGTTAACTGCAACCTGACTGCTTGTCAAAGTAAGTTTAGACAGATTGTAAGAACACAGATTGTGGCGGATTAACTGTGGTCTGACGAGTATTATAACATTCAAGGCCTTTGTAAAACTTTAAAAAGCTTTATGTAACTCATGTACGTGTGGAGGTCATTCAGGATTTGGCGCATCAGTGACCAAGGCGATGTCCGATGCAATTCCTTATTTCTACTTCAACCATTTGTTCCCGGGTTTGTTCAGGTGAACACTTGCCTTTGCATGTGTTTGTTATTGTTGCTATCGATGAGGTAGGATACTTTCACCTTTTCGCGAACAGCCGATATCCCCACTGATATCTGATAGTGATTCAAGATACTTGTTTAAGATTTCGGATTCAAATACAAATGGTCTCTGCTTTATGATTTTATGATTATGGAAATGGTTTTGCTGTTCCTATGCAATAAGCAGTTTATGCATCAGAGACTTGCAACGCAATCAAGTTACACAAGGGAGCCGATATGAATTTATCAAAATCAGCTAGATATACTATATTTATGTGGCATAGCCATACTTCATAGATTGTAGGAATGGCAGAATAACCATTCAAATGTTTAGAATTAATAATTGTTGCATAACCGTTATAAATAGTATAAATGAATATCCGTGCTGGAGAGCTTGAAGAATATAATAGCCATACCAGATGGAATGTAAAATAAAACGATCGATATATTACGAAAACACACTAAATGTTTCTCATATATTCAGCCTAACAGATAAAACTGTCTAGTGGTTTATGACAGGCAAACTCTAACTGTAAAATTAATTATTTTGAAATCTACATTTTATGTGTTTAAATATATATATTTCATTGTGCCTTTATCCATCCCTTTATCACTATGTGGTGATACTTTGTAATATGTGCTCGCTGATTCGATTGCTTTAAGGTGTTGCAACGTTGGAAAGCAATCCACAGACTTACATAGGGGCGACTATCAGTCTGCAAGTGTCAGTGCCAGGACAACCAGCACAGGCTCTGGGAAATTGGTACAAACAATCTGAAGGAGTCTTCAACGTCGTGACTGCCACTGCGAGGACCGTGCTCTCTGTTGACGGGAACATCCATCAGCTCACCCTCATTAATGTCACAGCAGAAGATGCTGGGACTTATTTCTACTTTGTAGCAGGAACCAACACACAAGGCGACCTTACCATTATGTTTCCAGGTAACGTCATTACAGTACCAGTTCAGATTTAAAGAGTATATGATATCATAATTGTTTCTGGACTATGAAAGCAGAGTGTGGGGCGATGTATGACGACAGGGTATATGGTTAAATCAAGTCCACGAAGCGTTTGTATCTGTTGTTGTGTATATGTGTACATGTATATCGCAATGGTAGTCGTGGTGCTCGAATGCTTTGATGACGTGAGCTGTTGTTGATTCGCCTTTGAATTGTGAATCCTCGATTCCGATTGGTTCCTCAAGGGTATAAAGTCACACCAGCATACCCCTGCGTCAAATCACTGCATCACTGCAAAGGTGGACTTACTACCCTCTCTTCTTCAACGCACTCAATAGGGAATTGTGCTCATAGGGTTGTTCCCTTCAATCATAGCACCACATTGTGAAAAGAAATACGCTGAAAAATGATTTTCATATTCTACAGAGAGAACTTAGAAATTTGCACGTCTCAATCAGGGTCTGTGACATCCTGTTTGATGCATAACATTTCTACATTTCTACATTTCTACGATGTGATACGTAGGACTGATGTGCACTTTTCTATCAACGTGAAAACATCTCAATTGTCTTTAACTTTTCTAAGGACATTTCACTCCTACGAGTAGGTGTTCCTGAATATACCTCCATGGCATCTATGAAACTGAAACCTGAAGAGTCCTCTCTCAATGTAGCGTCACATACCATAACATTCAAATCATAACACGTGCAATGTGTCTCTTACCTTCTTGGTCATCAAATCACAGCACGTATACAAGCTATCATCCACTATCTCCTTGTTAATCCTTGTTATCCTAAAATAGCGACAGTTGGTCCTGTTTATTTTGGGTGATCTTGGGTGGGATAAAATAAAATGTCAGTCACATTCACGGAGTATTGATTTTATTGTAGTCCACGGTGGAATATCTCAGTGGGGTCCATGGAACAACCCTTCATGTCCAGTTACATGTGGACAAGGATTTCGCTCCCTTTCCCGAAACAGGACATGCACACAGCCAGTTCCACAGTTTGGAGGACGAACTTGTTCCGAGACAAAAGAAGATACCATGCGAATTACGTGTTCTTTGGCGAACTGTCCAAGTAGGAACAATACTATTTGGTTTATTAATTAGACGAGTGTGTAACTGATATAAACTCTTTTTCTTGGGTGCTTTAAAGTGCACTGATATCTGTTTTTTTACTTAAGTTTTAAGCCGACACTTAACAAATTCAAATTTTGAAATGTAAATTCAACCTTGAAGTTGATTTATCGTTCACGTACATTTAGAATTTCATTCCCAAATATAAACCGATATATCTCAGTTTGGGGGTGGGGTGGGTTTACACCAAATGTTTTCAATACTACACATCCTACTCAAGATTGAGGTTTCCTGTGAACATATTTAAAAGATAGATCATGCACACTGACCTATATAAGCTAATCAAAATATCAACATTATCACTATTAATATTGATTCACGGGTACAAAGGATTTGATATGGTTAGTTCTGCCCTGTATAATTAGGAGTCCACCAAGATAAACCTGTTTATATAAAAGTACATCGATTCTGGAAACATGGAACTTAATGTTGAAAGGGGTTTAAAGCACAAAGGGCCGCCTCCGTGGTCTTGTGGTAGAGCGTCCGCCCGGAGAGCGGAAGGTCCAGGGTTCGATCCCGGGCCGCGTCATACAAAAAGACGTTAAAAGATTGTACTTGTTGTTACCCTGTCTGGCGCTCGGCATTAAGGGGCTAAAACAAGGACTGGTCGGCTCGGAGTCAGTATACTGTGTCTGAGTGGGGTATTCATGTTAAACTGCGGCATGGTATCTCAGTGAGCTAGCACTATAAATCGGCATCAGTCCGGACTAGTACAAGCAGCCACACAAACACACACACGTACATGCACGTCGCTATATAAGTGCAATAATCTTGGACGCCATTTCACCTCACCTCACCTAAAGCACAAAGTGATGTCTTTTTCTTATATGATACACATATAGTAACGAGGTTATTTTGAGGATAACCATTTTATAAACGCAAATGTTTTCACAAGATGGTGACTGGTCATTAACATATATAGATTGTATAACAAATAATGATAAATACTTGTCACAAATGTTTCTTATGATCGATAAAATGTTGTTTTTGCCGCACTATTCCAACCATATTGCTAAAACAACTAGAACCTATTGATAACATAGCCAACATGAACGAGGACATTGTCCGCCAGTTTATACATCCGATCCTTGCTTGGGTTTTACAAGCATGGGGTACGGGGTGCCACCGGTTGGGCAGGATACGCTCACCTTTTCAAGAACACCTGGTATCATTCTGATTTGATAGTGATTCAAAAACACATGCGCATGATATAGTCGGAATTGTACAATCGACTCTGCTTTATGCAGATATTTCTACTGGATATGGAAATGGTCTGTCGCTTTATTTATATCTGCCTTCATGGGCGACAAGTGTCCCACAGGCAATTAAGTACTTTTAAATCATTGTGACGTATTTTGATAAGAATAAGAGGCGAACACAAGAACAAAGGATTCTCTTTTCAATAAATGATCAGTTCACATCATTTCATGTTTAGACTGTCCAATTGTCGGATGACTTGACATGGGTGAGTGAGTTTGGTTAAACGGCGCTTTCAACAGTATTCCAGTTATATGACGGCGTGTCAGCTTAATGTGGGAGGAAAGCCCAGGCCTCAGATTACCGATTTGGTAAAAATGACGCCCACAACGATAGGTTTCTGGCGTACCCAAGGGACGCAACTCTTCACAGCGAATCGAGGCGCCTCAGTCGACTGGGCCACCTGTGCCCTCTGACTTGACATGATCTGAATAAGTGTGGAATTAGGAATTTGGATTGCTTTAGATTCCGACGTTTTATTATACACTGTAGTGTTATAATAACCTATATTTAGGATGATAGCAGTAGTAGTGGTAATAATAATAGAATTACGAACAGATCGACCAATATTTAAACATTCATATCCTGTAGACCATATGAGCCAAAGTTACAATGTCGACGTTTTTGTCGGGTTGCAGTTGACGGTGGCTATAGTCCATGGAATCAGTGGAGCAACCCTCCATGTTCCGGGTCATGTGGGAATTTATCTAAAGTCGTCTCAAGAGTAAGGACGTGTTCAAGTCCCTCTCCTCAGTTTGGTGGAAGACAATGTGTTGGATCACCGACTCAGACGTCAACAAGGAGCTGTAACCTTGCCGCATGCACAGGTAAGATGGCGTTACAGTTGCAAAGGTGAACGCTCTCGAAACAGGTCGAAATTATTTTGTATCAAGCATAAGGAGAGGATTACTGGGTAAAAGAGATGTGCACCTGTTTTCAACCAAATATACGAAACGTTGGCATACTTCTAATCAGAAGACAAATATGCAACTGTGAGACGTTAGGGAATAAGGCAAAGACTTCAGTTCAGTTCCAAATGTGCGACTGCTATAATTATATTGGATTTCTAAGAATGATGATTCATTTTATTTCGAAACAGAAGTAAAGGAATTCTCTGTTTGAGTGAAACCATTGTTTCACCAATGAGAATTATTGTTCTTTCCTTGGCAATATGTTAAAAGTGTCCTTTTTACATCAGCTCCTTAAGGTTGAAACATGAAATAAAGAGGCGAATGTGTTCGGTTTAACGCCGCTATATACCATACAATGGGATATTCTGTTTCATTAAGGTCACATTTCTGTTGACTCGGGTATTTAGATAAAAATCAGAATAACTTAATTTGTGCTTCTAAAACATTACATTGTTCTTGTTACAGGATGCCCTGAAGCAACCATCTATTTCGTGGTTGACCAATCAGAGAGTGTCGGTACTGCAAATTTCCAACTCCTCAAGGCGGCATTGAACAGTTTTGTTTCCAGTATTATTTCTAGAAACAACAACATCAGAGTTGGTGTCATAGGTTTCAGCAGTAATGTGACTTCTTCCATCGGGGCTACCAGCGATATTAGCTTACTTCAAGCCGCCATTAATTTTACACTGACGCCACCCAACGGTGGAACAAACACTCATCTGGGCATTCGGAGGGCTACCCAGAACTTAAATCAAGACACGTCTAATTATCCTAAGGTGATGGTTGTAATAACTGACGGCCTGTCTAATTTACCTAACGAAACTCGTGTCGCTGCTGCTGAAGCGAGGAACTCCGGGATTACGGTGTTCGCCGTTGGTGTCCTTGCCTTCAACATCCCATCGATTCGGCAACGTTTTCAAGCGGAACTACTGTCTATCGCCTCGTCGAATGCTACAGCAATCGAAATTGCAAACTTTAATGTTTTGACCAACTCCTTAAACAACATAAGCCAAATCTTGTGTCGGGGAACTGGTAAGTACATTGGGTTAATTCTCTTTTGTAACATTCAAATCACGTTCGATGACTGTTATTTCATATACAATACTGATAGTTTGGATGTTGATAACAATATTATCACATTGATGTTATTTTTTATCTTAGATCTTTTTTAATAATTCTATTATTCTAATTGGTATTAATTTAGAAAAAAATAGTGATGATATTAATCTCAAATGTTACCAGGACTACACGTGATTTCATATAAGAACCCCCCATATTATACAACACAACAGACCCGTGAAGATCCGGGGTGGAATAGGTCTTCAGCAACACATACTCGACGTGAAAGGCGACTATGCTTGTCGTAAAAGGCGACTAACGGGATCGGGTATTCAGGCACGCTGACTTGCGTGGATCGATGCTCGTGATGTCCAGCACTGGATTGTCTGGTCCAGACTCGAATATTTACAGACCGCCGTCATATAGCTGGAATATTGCTGAGTGCGGCGTTAAACGACAAACAAACAAACAAACAAACAAACACTCCAACAATCATGTATAAAGAGAAATCTGAGAGGGCAATATTTTGTTGCAGTCAATGGTAACTGGGGAAGCTGGGGACCATGGTCAGTCACCCGGTGCTCGGGGACCTGTGGAACGAGCATCGTGGGAACATCCAACAGAACGAGAACATGCACCAACCCAGCACCATCGTTAAATGGAAACAGTTGTGTTGGAAGCAGCATGGAGGTGACAGGACGGAACTGTGGCTTCAATCCTTGCCCAAGTAAGTAATTAAAAACACGCATGCTGAAGCATTGAAATGATTCATATCTGCGATGACAATGCAGCCTTAATCTCAATAGTTGAAATCGACATAACTCAAGACTTCCCATTATGTCAAATTTTGATAACAATATACTAATTTTGTTTAAGAGACATGGATCATGGACATTCGCAATGTGCAGATAATCGAGCAATCGTTGTGTCAACTGTAACGGCCGTACGCATAATGGAAATTGTTGTTACTTACGAGAAACGTTTGAAATTTTACTTTAAGCCTCCAAATATTGGTCACAAGTGTTAATATATGCCCGGCTTGATGTAGTATTATGTTGTTTGTTTGCTTGTTTGTTTGGGTTTCTTGTTTGTTGTTTAACGCCGCACTCACCAATATTCCAGCTATATGACTGCGGTCTGTATATAATCGAGTCTTGACCAGACAATCAAGTGATTGACACCATGAGCATTGATCCACGCAATTGGGATATGATGACATGCATCAACCAAGTCAAGCGAGCCTGACCGCCTTTTCCCGTTAGTCGCCTCTTACGACAAGCATAGTCGCCTTTTACGGCAAGCGTGGGTTGCTGATGACCTATTCTACCCCGGATGTTCATGGGTCTATTGTGTTGTAGTTAATGGAGGCTGGTCATTGTGGACTCAGTGGTCGACCCCCCAGTGTGCCGCGTTGTGTGGATCAGGTGTCATGGCTACAGTAATCCGACAGAGAGCATGTACAAATCCAATGCCATCGTTTGGTGGCAACGCATGCCAAGGAAGCTTCCAGGAGACTGAACTGAAGACATGCGGGCTCTCTCCTTGCGATGGTATGTAAACATATAAACGGTCCTTCCACTCAGAGGTCAGGAATGTATACACTAACACCCCTATATGAATGTATCGACCTTTTCACATATGACATATATTAACTGTTAGTTCTGAATAGCATATTTTTGTCCCGTGAGTACCATACATAGGTAATATATCATAATATTTATATCCCAATTAAAATAATATTTAGGCCACAAAAGGCCTAGATGACATTACCTTAATAATTGCTATATTTTTATCACTGCGTCTTAGTACTTTGTATTAAAGAACAGTATGATAATAATTTTGATAAAAGAAGAGTTTAATGTCAAGGAAATGACGATGCATCACCATACGATCATTTTAAAGTAACAGTAAACGGAATATTATGCTGAATGATCATCTGCATATGCGAGTAATGCCTGGACCCGCTTAATAATCTCACCGGCGCGTTGTGGTATGATTTACCCTTTTTGCGAACACCTGGTGTCATCACTGAATTTCAGTGATCCCTTTGATAATTTCCACCGCTATTACGAACATAGAATCTATTTCGGTTGATGATCCAGACTGATAATTAAATGGCGTTGGCGTTTTAGCTTCAATATGTGTTATACTATGTATAAAATCATGTTACAGGCGAGGTTAATGGCGTCTTCGGCCAATGGAATGCATGGACCGTATCCCCCTGCTCGGCTACTTGTGGGAGAAACGTGACCCGGATGTTGTCCCGGCAACGTCTGTGCAACAACCCCGCTCCTGCCAACGGTGGGAGCGACTGCATTGGACCGAGGAACGACACCAGTAACCAGCTCTGCTCAGTGCCCGAATGTCAAGGTATTTTCAGCAAACCGCCCACCTACCTATATGTTATGATTGTATTCACGCAGTCGCGGTAGTGTATGGGAGCGGTGATGATGCTGACACTGCAGGCAACATATATAATTAAATTTTTATTATTATATAATTTGCCTTAAAAGGTGACTATGCTTGTCGTAAAAGGCGACTAACGGGATCGGGTTGTCAGGCTCGCTGACTTGGTTGATGCATGTCATCGCTCCCAATTGCATGGATGGATGCTCATGATATCAATCACAGGATTGTCTGGTCCAGACTCGATTATTTACAGACCGCCGTCATATAGCTGGAATATTGCTGAGTGCGGTGTTAAACAACAAACAAACCAAACCAAACCAAACAAGATGATTTAATCATGGAACCTGAATATTCAGTGACAGCCCTCTGTGACGACGTGAAGAAACAGTACGGAGTTGGCTACCGCTATCACCCCACAGACTGTGACAAGTACATCCAGTGCTACGACAACCCTAGAGGAATCGCCATCGGCGTCTACAGAAGCTGCCCCTTCGGCTACTACTGGAACCAAGACACCTTTAGATGTACGGAGTCGTGGAAGGTGGATTGTCCTCTAGGTAAAGCGAATGTCCTATTTCATTTTATCAATGTAGGCGGTGGGGCACCTGCTGGTTAAAGCGTACGCTCGTCTAGACGATAACCGGGTTCGATTCCTAACATGGGTACAAAGTGTGAAGCGTTGATTCTTTCATTGGTACACGACACTGAGTCGGGTTGACATGTGAAATATAGATAGATGACTGTGATCTGTTGTTTATAGATGTCTAAATATGGAAAGAGTTTGCATAGTGAAAAGTATAGAATCCTAGATGAGACATGGTCGCAATGTCACTCTTATAAAAACAAGCAGAAAGTGTCAAAATTAACCAAAGCGCGACAATGCAACATTTTACCCATTTGTCGCATAGTCGCTTGTCGCGCTTTGAGAAATATTTATTTGTTTTACTCAAAGTTCGACAGTGTCCTTTCTAGGATTCCATAGAAAGGGCATACCCTATGTAATCCAAACTTCAGATTTCTGTAAATATATCGTTGCGTTCCTCCCGTCAGAGGAATCGACATTTTAAAGGGTTTCTCTCGAATGTGTGCCACCCATTCCTATGCCTGCTGTGGTTTCAGAGCGATGCAAAGGGTCGTGCGGAGCGAGCTACAAGATGACGGGAAGTTGCAGGTCCTACTGGAAGTGTGATGACGGAAAGTCCGTGGCCAGGTGTTGTCCCAGGGGATTCAGCTTCTCCCCAGGGGATGGGTGTTATTTCAACTTTTACTGTGACGATGAGTGCCCCTCTCCCTACGTTTCCAGAGGTAAATAAAACAAAGCATGTGTTACTGCAGCGACAAAGGGTCAATCGTGTGTGTTGACGATTCAAAAGAGACATGGTGACTATGCTTGTCGTAACAGGCGGACAAAAGTCAGGCTCGCTGGCTTGGTTGATGCATGTCATCGGTCCAAATTGCGTGGATCGATGCTCATGATATTAATCAGTGGATTGTCTGGTCCAGACTCGATTATTTACAGACCGTCGTCATATAGCTGGAATATTGCTGAGTGCGGCGTAAAACATCAAACCAACCAACCAATCATAAGAGACAAGTTATTATATACTGAACCGAAAAGAAACGTCACCATGCAAAGATATATGATAAACCTTATCTAAACCTTGTCTAAACACTGTAAACATACTTTGAGACATATTAAGAAGATCAAGCTTGTCAAAACTGATCATCAAGGTTGGAATTAAAGTGTCAAATGTTCTTAAAGTGAAACACAACACTTGTCTCTGAGAAAATGGCATCAAAAGTCAGTATCTCGTGTGTCCGCCATGTACATTGATGACTGCCGTGCAACGTCGATACATGGAATGGATGAGGCGGTTGATGAAGGTCATAGGCACTTGAGCCCACACTCTGAGGAACGCCTGACGCAGTTTAGCTGCAGTTGTCGACCTTGGTCGGATGTCATTCCCCCGTCATTGAATCTTGTCCCACGGGTGCTCAGTGGGATTTAAATCGGGCTGAGGGCAGGCCACTGCATTATTCTGATGCCATTCTGCTGGAGGAAGTTTCTTGTTGCTCACGCAGTGTGTGCACGGGCGTTATCTTGCTGAAACTCGTGGTTGTGGCGACATGCCATATGAGGTATGGCATGTGGTCTCAAGACTTGGTCTATGTACCGAGCTGCTGTGATACCATTGCCTCTCCCTGGGCCGATTTTCTGAAGACCACAGGGCCGACCTTCTGTGCAAGACCAACCCACGAGTATCTCGCAACAACACAGGCATCCGAGCAACATTCCCCACGGCGTCGCCAGACTCTCTCTCTGCAATCTGCTGATTACTTACTGTAACGGCTCTCGTCTGAGAAGAGGACTCCTCTCCACTGCTCGTGGCGCCAATGCTGGTGCTGTGATGCCCACTGAAGATGGTCACGGCGATGACGTGGGGTCAAAATGGGTCCTCGGTGTGACCTGTGACAATGGAGGTGTCTGCTCGTCAATCGTCGACGCACGGTGTCCACACTAATGTGTCGCTGGTGTGTCCCCATGGTCTGTTGAGCAGTTTCCTCAGTAGTAACAAAGCGATCTTGAAGAGGCTGTCGCACAATCTGACGATCCTGGCGTCGGGTGGTGACCCTTGATCTTCCACTACGTGGTCAGTCATCTGTAGTGTTGGTGTTCTGGTGCCGTTGATGGAGCCCGTATATGGTCCTTACGAGGACTTGAAATGCATTGGCTGTTTGCAGAGGCGGTCCTGAACGAACAAAGTATAACGGTTAGGCTGTACAGCTTAGTTTAACTTTACGAGGTATTTCTCCTCCTAAGATTATACAGTTTGTATATACGTCACAGTTAATCATCATCATTACATTATTCGTTTTTTAGATAGACTTGTATAGTGTACAATGTGAATATATTTTCTACTTCTTTATATTCTGTCCCAGATGTATGTGACAAACATCCTAACTGGGGCAACACCAACTCCTACAACATCTCATTGGGGGACTTGGGGTGGAGGTCGATGTCCTGCCCTGAAAACAGTTTCTTCAACATTCTTGATTGCGGATGTACACAAGTCACTCCAGGTGAGGACCAGTCACTTCTATAAAGTCAATATGATGTAGATAGAACCAGAAGAGGGTTTGCTTTCCTAGAGAAACCACATGTGCATTTCTCAGTACGAGAACGTCTTAGCTGATTTCTATCCTACTTTCACCCCTTCCTGCTGACAGCAACCAATACTCTTATTTTTGTAACCTAAAATTGTAAATATGGTTATTTCGAAATGCCTACCGACAATGACCAATAAAAAATACTTTGATATATATATCGTCGTTTTAGTCAGAGGTAGTTATTGTGATTTGAAACTTATGATTCAACAATTAAACATTCAAGCAGGGATTTTACTTGTCACGATGAGATTATTGCAGATTGCCTAAAGATAAGCCATACCCACAGGGCCAGTTTGAAAATTGTGCATTGTCAAATGCCAGAGAAATTTGCCAACTCTGATTATAGTGTATGCTGATAATAGTATATTGTGTCATATTATCCAGTATCGTTGACAATAGAACATGTCTTAAGGTAACATGGGTTATAAATTCAAAACATTAAACAAGTCATCTTTAACCTCACGTGGAGCCAACATCTCCTACATTCCCCAACTGGTTCTCTGGCTGAATGTAATATTTATTCCGTTGATGACTTTTGGAATGGATATTTTACCTGCATTGTCGCAAACCTAACGTATTGTGCTTTTGTGCCTCAATTATTTTCATGAGCTTACAGACATTACCGCTTTCGTATCAGGGTTGACAATTGCACCCGTTTTAAGAAACAATAGTAACTATCATCATTAGTTACAACACACATCTTTAAGACATTTTTCTTTGCATTGACAGCGATATGGTAAAACTTCCTTGCTTAGGACGCTATAGATACTGGTGATATCGTTTAAAAAGATAGATGATTAATGTATTTGAAAGACATTTAGAAGTTTGAAGATCATTAAGACATGCGCCTTGTTATGGATAACATCTTTTTTTGTTCATAACTTTTCGATGTAGCCCTGAGACACCGATAAAAAAACATTAGAGGAGTTAAGGAAGAGAATTTAAGGATGTTTTATCATCAGAAACACAACTTTTCGGAGAAGGTTAATCCTTCATCAGGATTGGCTTCCATTCGTCCATAACTATCAGCGCTAATTACTGTACAGTGTTGGCTCCCATTGTCTATTGCTAATCGCCCATCAGCTTCCCTTGTTAAGTTTCCACCTTTTGTTATCATATTACTCTCGTTGTTCTTATGTGTACATATATATGCCCACTGCCTCATATCATTCTTTCACCTGATGAAGGAGTAAGCATATACTCCGAAACGTTGTGTTCCTGATGATAGAGCAGTTGAGACCCAGAAATTCTCTTCCCTATGTGTATCTCTTCTAAATGTCTTTCAAAGACTTGATTAGAGGAACTGTTGGATTTGCAGCTTTATGTCTTTGGTAGGAACTAAACTTTTGTCCATTCCGTTTTTTAATTTTCGAATCAGCATCAGAATACACGTAATGAGATATAGTCGTGACCAGCATTAAATAACTCCAAAATATCCAGTTATTTTTTGCAGTGTTTACAAAACATGTGGATAATGAACTTCACAAAGGTAGAACATATTCTGTTTTAATTGATGATGTAAGGGTTACATTGCATGTAACCAGTTGACAGAGGTATTGAATAACCCAGTCGTGAAAGTGTTAGCTCGTTTCACAGAAGAACGGGTTCGATTCCTCCCATGGGTAAAATGCGTGAAAACCTTTTTCAATGTCCCCAGGCGCGACAGTAGTGTAACATTGCGAAAAGAGCAATACAGTGGTCCTAAATATCTAAATCAACTACTGCAATTAATATTGGTGTCCCCCTCCGTGATATTGCTAAAAGCGGCGTAAAACAGTACTCACTCACTCACTCACTCACTCACTCACTCAATCACTCACTCACTCACTCACTCACTCACTCACTCGGCTTATGTCTTATAGGCATTGACATGTATTTGATTCATAAAAGACAATGACAATGAATATAATTAATATTGTCTACTGTAACCACTTGTCATTTACCATCATTATTCAGCGACATGTGCAGCCAGGTACGACTTCGTGGCCGGGACACGCCCTTCATGGGTTCAATTGGAGCAAGTCAACAACCGGGTGGGGGCTCTGTCGCTCACCAACAAGAGCAAAGTGCATCTTGACATCAAGATGACAGTCGCCGACAGCCCCATCGTGTTCACCTTCACGTACAGGGAGACTGTCGTGTCCAACAAAAGCCGTGTGTTGGCGAGCAGCAAGGACAGGCTGGTGGTGTCCACTGAACCAAAGGGCGTCCTCTTCACCATGACCTCATGGTATGGAGAGGTTACCAGACTGATGCTGTCCACGGATGTAAGTATCAACATATATGATCGTTTAGGTTCTATGTTCACGTGAATGTAATATACCCTAGTACTCCTTTGGCTGCTGTTAGTATGAAATGTTCAGAGTGAGTGAAATTGGTTTCAGTCTGCTGTGAACAGTTATCGCCATTTCAGCTGCATATGGGACGAAATAGGGCGTTGTAAATAATTATGTCTGCACGGTGTAATAATGCCACCGCAAATAACACTTAGAGTGAGCTCAATAGCAAGCACAATTACACTTAATAGCATGCTAAAGTACACTTTATAGCATGCTAAAGTACACTTAATAGCAAGCTAAATTACACTTAATAGCAAGCAAAATTACACTTAATAGCAAGCTAAAGACATTGAGATGGAAGCTAAAGTGCTAAAGCTAACTTGAACCAAATAGCAAGCTTAAGTACACTCAATAGCAAGAATTTCAATTGATAATTTCCAATTTGGTTTTACTTCTTTTCGGACGATGAGCACTGGGACATTGTTAATGTACGATTTACGGACGAGTTCTCCAGCCAGTGCCAGTGCCTTCCTGATAAACGAATATCTAGATGAGTAATTATCTTTCTCCATAGCTATGGTCATGATCTTCTGTTGCCAGGGAATGCCTCTAAACCAGTGGAAGACAGTGAGTGTGATGTACACGTGCAAGTACCTGGTTGGCACTGTCTCGAACAACAACGTCAAGTACATGGACAGAGTGCTCGGTGAGGGTTCTCTGTACTTGACCCCATAGTGAATGCAAGCTCAACATATGCGTCATATATTTCGTATGAATTATTATTAGAACTCGACCGAGGAAAAGCCCAATGATGCATGTGTTGGATTTAAAACAGGTTTATTATGACTACAATGATGAAGGCAGATGGTCAAAATGGACAGGTGATGAAACACATAAGAACAGGTTCTTACTATGATACGTTTAGAGGAAACCCTGAATATACTTTTATGGACCACTGTTTTAATTGGATTAAAATAAGTTCTTGTCACTAGATTGGGTCACTATGAAGATATTTACATGTAAATTGTTTCCCTTCAGTAAAAGATACTAACATCTTGTCGGACGGACTGACGATTGGGTCAGATGCTTCACGTGTCCCAGGCATGCCATTCGTTGGGGATGTAGGCAGGGTAAGTAGCCTCTAGTGTGGCATTTGTATGACAGGTCCAGTGATTTGGTTGTGGGGTACGAACCCCGACTTCGTGGATCGTATGCTCACAACATCAATGTCTGGATATCTGGTCGATTACTTATACAAGCCACCGTCACACTCACACACACACTTACACATACACACATTCATACACACTCACACACACACACACGCACACACACACACTCATGCACACTCTCACACAAACTCTCACACACTCACACACTCACACACACACTAACACATACACACACTCATACACACACACTAACACTAACACACACACACACACACACACACACACACACACACACACACACACACACACACACACATCATAACACATGTTCGACACATTGCCTTCCTAACTAAGACGACACAAGTGACTTCGGGTCCCTGAGTTGTTGCAGGATGCGATGATCGTTAAGTAGAACCACAATAGTATTACCCATGATCGTGGATTTAACTAGCTTACAATAAAGTTCACTTTTCTTCCCACATTACCTCGACACACCGTAATCTGTCTGACATACTGTTCAACCAAACATACTCGCCCAGAAAGACCATAACAAAGCTTTGATTGGATTCAATACGATTCCACAATAAAATAACGTAAAGCGGTTAACATGGAAATGACTAGGTTATACCGGAAGTGTGTCAATCTGTTTCAGGTATCCGTCTACAAGTGCGACCCTGGCATCCTGGTCTGAAGATGAGGCTATCATCATCCTCCACATCAGCTGATCTCAGTCATTGTTCTATTTTTTTCTTTAGATGATGCACAGTGCTAGCACTGGACGATGTATTGCCTGGATGTTTCTTGCCTTGTTTTGTACCACTTTGTAACGTATTTGTTATGCGTATTACACAGAATTGTATTCATGTATGAAAGGAGATTCGATCACTGCATGAAATTTGAAGCAAACTTTGTGCATCTGACTACACCAGTGATAATAATCATGATGACAATACTAATACATTGTAAAGCGCTAGATCTACAAGGAAGTATGTTCAAAAGACAAGTGTGTCTTCATTTTGTAATCTCAGCTCCCTAGGAAGAAGTCCATTAATATACTATTCCATGAACATCATCCATTCAGCTGCGTCACCCTTTATTAAAAACGTTTTGCGTCAATTTGTATTTTGTCAGGCAGTATAGTTAGGAACAGCAGCCTTGCTATTCATTCATATAGTGTACCTGTGTGAGAGGTATACTTCTTTTGTACTTCCTCTTTAAATCAATTAATTTTGTTAGACTAGTTATGAGATTTCATTTTACATGCGCATGCTTCAAGTCAGTCGTCTGACGCCGCACCATCTGGACAAGTCAAAGTTTATTAAATAAACTGCATGGATCGACAAAACATAATGAAATATCACTTTCTGCTGGAACTGTAATCCTGCCTATTCGACACACCGGCTTTCAGACGAAGATAAGACATGCATGATCAATCGAACGTTTCGCTTTTATCTATTATTTGGTTATTGTTGTTTTGTTGTTTAACGCCGCACTCAGCAATATTCCAGCTATATGACGGTGTTCTGTAAATCTATTAAAGAACTTGGTTACCTCAATGACTGACCCGACAGTGCTGACATTTTTATAAGTGACACCTTCCTCCATTTTTGTATTCTTACATAGCTCTACTACAGCTCGTGTTCGTCATGTCACTATTTTATAGAATGCTAACGACAGTTTCACTGCCTAATCTCAGGAATTGTCTTGCAGGTAAATCTGAGCAGGAATATGAATCACGTTTCAGTAATAAATATTTCTTTCCATCTGCATCTTGTTCCGGTTACCTTCAGTTCCTCAGAGCTTTGTGAGCTCAATATGAAATCTAATACTCATATGTCCTCCATAGTGGAGTGGATATGGTGTCTGTCCTGTGAGCGGAAGGTTGGTAGTTCGATCCCCTGCCCGCTTCACGCCAACATGTATTTACAGTGAGTGAGTGAGTGAGTGAGGTTTTACGCCGCTTTTAGCAATATTCCAGCAATATCACGGCGGGGGACACCAGAAATGGGCTTCACACATTGTACCCATGTCGGGAATCGAACCCGGGTCTTCGGCGTGACGAGCTAACGCTTTAACCACTAGGCTACTCGACCGCCCCACATGTATTTACAAATGGTACTTGTTGGTGCCATGCTTGACGCTCGGCATTAAGAGTAAACCTTTTCCATAAATAATCTCTGACTCCGACTATAGCATAAGCATGTGTTTATGAGTGAGTGAGTATGGTTTTATGTCGCTTTTAGCCATATTCCAGCAATATCATGGCGGATGGCACCATAAATGGTCTTCACACATCCTAACCATGTGGGGAATCGAACCTGGTTCTTCGCCGAGAAGAGCGAATGCTTTCACCACCAGACTACCCCAGTGCCTCTTATGAATCATTATCACATAGTGATGATACCAGTTGTTCTTTGTAAATCTGGATATCATTTACACTAGTATACCATCAGTGCTTTGTGTTTACCACAAATTTAAAACGATCTACATGCATCTCACATTTCATGTTCAAAGCCTACAGAAATTAGAAACTGCACATACTTATTGTATGTTGTGTCAAACACCCAGGTACGCACGACCATGCTGATCCAAAGTAATATCTTTTCTCAGAGCACAGTCTTCTTCTATTCTACATTGCTGTGCCAAATGCGAGGATCCTATGCTTGTTTGGTTTGAAAGGCTGTTAATGTCCCTTTTCATATATCCAATAATGTTGTACACTGAATCAATGATGTAAAGTGGTCTTCTTCAGTAAAGTGAATGTGTATGTGGCTGCTTGTAGAAGTCCGGACTAATGCCGAGTTTATAGTGCTTGCCCACTGAGACACCATGCCACAATTCAGCATGAGTACTGTCATAACTGCGTTTTGGGCTTAACACTACCAAACGTTTTGCCGTTTCATCTCATCACGGTCAATGAAAGCCATGACTACAACTCGTCTGGTCTTGACGTGAGTGAGTGAGTTGGGTTTAAAGCCGCTTTTAACAGTATTCCAGTGACATCGACGCGTTTCAGCTTAACATGGGAGGAAGGGCCGAAGTGATGAAGGTCTCAGACCTTTAACACTTCTGTGAAACCCAAGAACATTGGCATGTGTTTGTAATATGTCAAATATATCGTTTGTAACCAAATGTAACTAAAAAAACAGTGACTATGACTGTTCAGCGTTCTGACAAATTGGAGACCAAAATCTCTGAACACAATAGGGAAATAAACAAAATCTTCTGACTAATTGTTCCTCACCGGCTCATCCAGTAACTTGGCAGTTACAAGAGATGCCTTCACTCGTCACGCCGAAGACCCGGGTTCGATTCCCGACATGGGTACAATGTGTGAAGCCCATTTCTGGTGTCCCCAGCCGTGATATTGCTGGAATATTGCTAAAAGCGGCGTAAAACCATACTCATTCACTCACTACAAGAGATGCCAGTAACGTTTTGTGCTTTCACTAAAGTCATACCTTTCCCTCTTCACGAACACTTCGTATCATCAGTATTGCATTGTGGTCATAAACACATGCTCATTATAGTAGGGATCGTTCATTGGGCAGTATATTTCTTATGATTGGAAAGGGTTTCGTCTCTTTGATTAATATACGATCCTCACATGCATGGTATAGTCATCATAGGTCAAGGTACGTATAGGATGATGTCATTCCAAAGATTTGGTAATGGTTGAATAATGATTTCGAGTTCAGAAGTAATATAAGAGTATTTGTTCCCGAAGTGAAAATGTTCCTTTGTACTTTTTTTCTCTTGGTGAATTATTCCCATGGAACAGTTTTAACTGGGAAATAGTTTTCATTGGGGACCGGGGAATTCTGTTCCCTACTGTTCCCTATGTGTTTAAAGTACAGTGTAAATTTCACATTGAAAATGTTCCCTAACCCTAATCCTATCCCTGATTTATAAATGTAATCATCTGGACCTTGAATATGCAAGTTGAATTCTTTGACATTTCCAAATTTGACGCATCAGTGACGAACATGATGTCCTATGAAATTCCCTTTTTTGACTTGTACCATATGTTCCCGTGTTTTTTAGGGATGAACAATTGACTTGCCTTTGTATGTGTTTGTGATGGGTGCCACATGTGCAGTTAATTCGCTCACCTTTTCGCGAACACCTGGTGTCATCACTATTTGATAGTGGTTCATAAGCACATGCTCATGATGTAGTCGGAATCGTACAATGAACTCCACTTTAGGAAGATATTTCAATCGAAGATAGAAAGAGTTTTGTTGCTTTAACTTATTTGAATCACTGAAACTTTATTGTAAATGTGTTGGTGATATATATATTTCTGTGTATTGATAATTTACTGAATACATGTAGATGGTAAATTGAGGTTTACTTATTGTGCTCCTTTAGGTGTAAAACAAGTATGCTTACTTCTTAGGTGTAAGCAATTGTTTTTCTGTTGCGGTGGTAGTTTTGACCCTGTAATGAGATTACACATATCGTCCATCGTCACATCTCCTTAATTCAGTCGTTCCCATAGAAAGTACAGTGGACACACTACTGGCAAAACATGCACTGGGTAATGAAAGTTCTTTTTGCCGCGTCCACTTGTAAAAGGGGCGGTCGGGTAGCCTAGTGGTTAAAGCGTTCGCTCGTCACGCCGAAGACCCGGGTTCGATTCCCGACATGGGTACAATGTGTGAAGCCCGTTTCTGGTGTTCCCCGCCATGATATTGCTGGAATATTGCTAAAAGCGGTAGACAAAGGTAGATGAATCAGTCACACATTCGGCAATATTCTAGCTGCACCTTGGCGACAGAGGTTTCTGACTGGTGTTTGACAAATGCCTGATGCGTGCCATATGCGTTTGTCCGATCACCATTGGATTGTATCGAGATTGGGTGACTCTAACATTCAGGCCATAGGCGGATCCAGAGGATCCAGAGGATTCAGAGGAGGGATCCAGAAGGGCCCCAGGGGGTCGGGACACACACACCCCTCCCCTATATTTTGATATTATGGACCCCTCCCTTTTACAATCCTGGATTCACCCTTGCAGGCGTTTCTTGTAGGAAATATTAAATGATGATGAAAACTCCATGCTGAAAATCTCCACAAGGTACAACAAGTTATCAGACATTTATAAGTGATAATAACGGAAACCAAGCGACTGATCACTTAATTCTCATACATGGTAGTATGCCATACTGTGTGGGTCATTTTCGCATTGACGTTATCTCTTATCACTTTTTTATTCTTTGGAAAATTTTCTATTCTTCACGTTTTAACATTTCAATATTTCAATTGTTTACCAAACAAATTCACTACTGTCCTGAACAATATTCGAGAAAGAAATTATCTCATTCGCTGCGGTCGGCGAGACTCTACTTCCACCTATTACTGTATTGCTGTCATGGGTCAAATCACAGAGTCACACCCCGTTAAAGATCACACTTCAACCACCCTTCCACTACTTTAGACACCGCCAGCTAACGCGCCTCTATACTCAATGCAGATCGTGACACTGGAATCTCACAGGTCAGCGCTCAGCCGGATCCTTTCTTGCACAGCCGTTGATCGTTTAACCGAACCTTGGGAATAGATTCGTGTGTTATTGTTAACAGCTCCACGAATATCAAAATACGGATTATTCGTCATACATAACAATCGGGACATGTTTAGGAGTTACTCGTAGGTTCGTGATAGCCATACCAGG